ACCACGGCAAGCAATGCAGTAATCAGCCACATCTACACGTGTTGCATGTGCTGATATAAAAAAGCTCAAATTCTAGAGGCAGGTTGCTGAGTTGAATAGGGGTGGGGGACAGAGGCTTTGGAATTACATAGACCTGCGTTCAAATCTCACTTCTGCCTTGTTTGGAGATTTTTAAAAAAATCTTTTTAATTAATTAATTAATTAATTAATTTTTGTTTATTTTTTCTTTTATTCATATGTGCATATAATGTTTGGGTCATTTCTCCCTCTTCTCCCCCTCCCCTCCCTTCCCCCCAAAACCCTTTTTATTACCATATATTCATTATACGGGAGGGGATTCGTAGTGACAATTCTGATCAGGCTTACATTGTACATTGGTTACGTTACCCCATTGTCTGTCCCCCCAGTCTCCTCCCCCACACTTAAAGCAATTGCAAGAGGATTCTTTGTTCTGTTTCATATGAGTATAGTAAGTTCATCAACCACATCCCCTCACCTTAATCTCTTCGTTCATCCTCCCCCTCCCACTAGCACCCCCTCCACACTGTACCTATTGTACAGTCCTGCCTTTCGTTATTAATATCTAAGTTGATGTTCATAGGGGTTTCTCTATGCGTCCCTCAACCCCTTCCATCACTCTCCCTGACCCCTTTACCTCCCACCCCCATTTTTCAGCAGCTTTCAGTGCACATCCCCACATCCTCTACCTTCTCAGATGTGATGTTTTGCAGTATTACTGACGCTCTATCATTCTCTTTGCCTTTCCTTCTTTCCCCATGTCCTATGGAGTCGTTCCACTGTTACAAACACGTTCTACATATGAATTTGTATGTGATCATGCTTGGTTTTGTGTATATGTTTATCTTTTGACTCTATCATCGACATATGAGAGAAAACATGTGCTCTTTGTCTTTTTGAGCCTGGGTGACTTCACTTAACGTGTTGTCCTCCAATTTCATCCATTTACCTTCAAACCACATGTCATTATTATTTATAGCTGAGTAGAACTCCATTGTGAATGTATACCACAATTTCTTTTATTTATTTATTTTTATTGTTGTGCTGTGTTGGGAGTACATTTTGGCAGTTACAGAGGTTCTTACAATTACCACAATTTCTTGATCCACTCGCCAGTTGTAGGGCACCTGGGTTGTTTCCATAGCTTGGCTATTGTGAATAGTTCTGCAATAAACATGGGTGTACAGGTGTCTCTACTGTATCCTGTCTTATGTTCCTTTGGGTAGATGCCCAGGAGCGTATCACTGGATCCCATGCAGTTCTATCTTTAGCTTTTTGAGGAATCTCCATACTGCTTTCCACAGTGGTTGTACTAATTTGCATTCCCACCAACAGTGTATAAGGGTTCCTGTTTTGATGCATCCTTGCCATGCTTTGTCGCTGTTATTGCCCTTGATCATGGCCATTCCAACTGGGGTGAGATGAAATCTAAGTGTTGTTTTGGTTTGCATCTCTTTTATAATTGAGTATAAAATTATGTATTTACTGGCCATTTGTACCTCTTGCTTCGGGAATTCCCTGTTTAATTTATGTGCCCATTTCTTCATTGGGGTGTTGATTCTTTGGGGGCTGAGTTTTTTGAGTTCCCTGTAGATTCTGGATACTAGACCCTTATTGGATGAGTAGCTGGCAAAGATTTCATCCCACTCTGTGGGCTGTCACCTGAGTCTGATGACTGTTTCCTTTGCTGGGCAGAAGCTCTTTAGTTTGATGCAGTGACATTTGTTCATTCTTTCTCTTACATGCTGAGCCTTTTGAGTTCTGTTTAGGAAGTCATTCCCTATACCTATCTGTTCCAGGGTATTTCCTACTGCTTTCTGGAGTTGTTTAAAAGTTTCAGGCCTTATGTTAAGGTCTTTGATTGACTTTGAGTTGATCTTGGTACAGGGTGAAAGGGATCTAGTTTCAGTCTTCTGCGTGTGGATATCCAGTTTTCCAGCAGCGTTTGTTGAAGAGGCTGTCTTTCTCCATTATGTGTTTTGGACTCCTCTGTTGAAATTCAGTTGGCTATAGATGTGTGGGCTTATGTCTGGATCTTCTATTCTGAGCCATTGGTCTTCCTGTCTGTTTTTGTGCCAGTACCATGCTGTTTTTATTGTTATGGCTCTGTAGTATAGTTTCAAGTCAGGTATTGTGATGTCAGTAGCACTGGACTTTTTGCTCTGAATTCCTTCAGCTATTCGAGGTCTTTTGTGTTTCCATATGTACTTCATGATTAGCTTTTCTCGTTCTGTGCAGAATGTCATTGCAATTTTGATAGGGATTGCATTGAACAGGTAGATTGCTTTTGGTAGTACAGTCATTTTCACAATGTTGATTCTACCAATCCATGAGCATGGGAGATCTTTCCATCTTCTGATATCTTCTTTGATTTCTCTCTTCAGTGGTTTATAGTTTTTATCAAAAAGGTCTTTCGTTTCCTTTGTTAAATTTATTCCACGGTACTTTGTTTTTGAGGCTATTGTAAACAGGATTGTTTCCCTGATTTCTTTCTCACTCTGTTTGTTGTTGGTGTATAGGAAGGCTACTGATTTCTTTTTTTTTTTTATTCATTTATTCACATGTACGTATATTCTTTGGGTCATTTCTCCCCCCTGCCCCCCCTTCCCCACCCTCTCCTGCCATTCCCTCTTGCTTCTAGGCAGAACCTGTTCTGCCCTTATCTCTAATTTTGTCGAAGAGAAGACATAAACATAATAAGAAAGACAAAGCATTTTTGCTAGTTGAGATAAAGATAGCAATACAGAGAGATTCCTAGCATTGCTTCCATGTACAAATGTGTTACAACCCAGGTTGATTCATCTCTAACCATCTCTAACTGATCTTTACACTGGTTCCTGATCCCCTTCTCATGTTGACCTCTGTCGCTTTAAGGTTTTTGTATTAGTTTCTCTGGGGGGGAGGGACATAAAATATGTTCATGTTTTGGGTTTTCTACCTATCTCCCATATGTGATTTCTGTATGTAAGTTTTGTAACCCTCTACATTGCCAAAAGAGTTTATAATTTCTAATAGTTTTTTGGTAGAGTTTTTAGGGTCTTTTAGTTATAGGATTGTGTCATCTGTAAATAGGGATGGTTTGACTTCTTCCTTCTCTTTTTGAATGTCTTTTATTTCTTGCTCTTGTCTTATTTCTCTGGCTAGGAATTTCAAAACAATATTGAATAGGAGTGGGGAAGGTGGGCATCCTTGTCTTGTTCCTGACTTTAGTGGGAATGGTTTTAGTTCTCCATTTATTATGATGTTGGCTATAGGTTTGTCATATATAGAATTTATTATGTTGAGGTACATTCTTCTATCTCTACTTTCTTCAGAGCGTTTATCATGAGTGGGTGTTGAATTTTGTCAAAGGCTTTTTCTGCATCTATTGAGAGGATCATGTGGTTTTTGTCCTTGCTTCTGTTTATGTGCTATATTACATTTATAGATTTACGTGTGTTGAACCATCCTTGCATCCTTGGAATGTTGTTGTTTTGAGCCAGGTTCTCACTATTGTAGCCCAGGCTGGCCTAGAACTCTTGATCTTCCTGTGTCAGTCTCCTGAGTGCTGGAATTATAGGTGTGTGTCACCATATCCAGCTTCATCACTGTTGTATTAAACTGTATTTATCTAATACATGCATGTTTGCAATGAGAGAAGAAGAGAGAGAGAGAGAGAGAGAGAGAGAGAGAGAGAGAGACTTCTTGAGGCAGAGCAAGAGAGGAAGAGGGAGTATTTATATGATGCAGGGAATCTGATCCCTTCCATTCCCCATAGGGAGATCCTTCCACAGGAAGGATGAGGATGTGAGTCACAGATGGCCTCAAGTCACTTGAGTCACTCCACTGGGAGAATCTCAGCCCACTGAGTGGGATTCTGGTGCTCAAACATGACAGTTTTGCTATACCAAGACCTCTGAACACCAGTCTGTAACCCCTTCACTTGGGACTCCATTGAAAAACCTGCCTCCTGTCACAATGGTGTAGGGAAACTGGCCAGGGCTTAGTTAAAAGTTTTCAGGCATTTTGACCCAGTGTGATTTTTGCCTGATAGGCTGACTTAGAACTGAATCCCTAAAAAAAGGGGGGAGGGCAGTATGGCTCAAGTGGTAGAGAGCCTGCCTAGCAAGTGCAAGGCCCTGAGTTCAAACCTTAGTACCACCAAAGCAAAACAAAGCAAAACTAAATCCCCTTAGGTGGAATGGACTCTGCCAGGCTGGCCCTGTGACTGTGGGCAAGAGATGGGAGTGACACAAACTCTCTGAGCCTTAGTGGCCCTTGTTGTAAATTGGGAGAATCCACATTTCTGTTTTTCTTTTTTGTCAGTAGGTCTCTCCCATCCATCCATCTATCCATCCATGCATCCATCCATCCTTCTGTGTGTCCATCTGTCCATCCATCCACCCACCTATCTCTCTATCCATCCGTCCATCCATCCATCCATCCATCCATCCATCCATCCATCCATCTAATCATTCATCTATTCATTCACCCACCCCAGTGTCCATTCAGCTACTTAAGCATCTAAGTCATCCATCCATCCACCCACCCACCACTCACTTATCCATCCATCCATCCATCCATCCATCCATCCATCCATCCATCCATCCGTGTGTTCATCAGTGACATACTCTCTCAGGTGCATTTTGCGTGCTGAGAACCAGACAGTTTCTGCCCTCAAAGTGTTCACGATTTCTCAGTGGCTAAGACACATTTAACATCCCTAGGCAGGAGGAGGGGAGGAACTTTAAAGAAGGTACAAAAGTGAAAACCCTCCCTACCTGGCTTGCGCAGCTTCTAGCGGGTGTCCAAGTGTCTGTGTGTGCAGAAGGCCATGTCCTAGCATGGGTGACTGTACCTCTCCATTTCTCAGTCCAGGACTCCGTAACTGCTTTCACCCACAACATGCACCCCAGGCTGACCAGGATGGAAGCATCACCTTCAGAGCTGGCAGGGCCATTAAACAGCACCCCCAAACAGACCCTGTCCTGGCCCTCTTCCAGGGAGGACCCATGGCGCGTGGCAAAGATGGTGAAGTCCTATCTGCAGCAGCACAACATCCCTCAGCGGGAGGTGGTCGACACCACTGGCCTCAATCAGTCCCACTTGTCCCAGCACCTCAACAAGGGCACCCCCATGAAGACGCAGAAGCGAGCAGCGCTGTACACCTGGTACGTCCGCAAGCAGCGAGAGGTGGCGCAGCGTAAGTAACTACTCCAGCCCTGTCCTCCCCGCACCCGGGTCATGCAGATGGGCAGGTAGAGAGGAAGCCGGTGGGAACTCCACCAACATTTCTTACCTGCTCTGCACAAGGCAGTTTGGGGGAGGGGAGTGGGCATGCAAAGATGGGTATCCTGGGGAAGTGGCAGAGAAGATGGTTATGACCACCTTTATTACAATGATAATGAAAATGGCACTGCTGTTGGAGTGGCTCAAGTGCCACTGCCTGGCAAGCATGAGGTCCTGAGTTCAAATCCCCTACCACTGAAAGATACTAAAGCAGCAGTAATAGCTAGTACTTACTGAGCACCTGCTCTGTGCCAGCCCAGGACAGAGTAAAGTGGTGAGTGGAGTTGCCTATTCTACCTCAGAGAGGCAGAGGTATGAGGAAGGTTCACACTGAGAGCATAGCCTGTAGACTAGGTTTGAAAGTGTGAATCAAAATTGAAAATTTTTTTCTTTTTTTGTGGTACTGGAATTTGAACCCAGGGCCTAGTGCTTGCTAGGCAGGTACTTTTACCATTTGAGCCACATCCCCAGACCTTTTTGTTTAGTTATTTTTTTCATGTAGGATCTCCAGATATTTGTTCTGGGGCTGGCCTCTGTCTGGAGATCCACTTAGCTATACTTTCTGTGTAGCTGGGATTACAGACATGAGTCACAGAGCCCTGGCCTCAAAGGACCTGATTTTTTTGTTGTTTTGTTTTGTGGGACTGGGGTTTGAACCCAGGGCTTCATGTTTGCAAAGCAGGCGCTCTACCACTTGAACCACAAGTCCAGCCCATTTTATTCTGGTTATTTTGGAAATGGGGTCTTATAAATTATTTTCCCAGGCTGGCCTCAAACTGTGATCCTTCTAATCTCAGTCTCGAAAGTAGCTGGATTACAGGTATGAGCCACCAGCACTGAGCTGACTTGATGAGAAATTCTTAATTTTTTTTGGTGGTACTGGGATTTGAACTCAGGGACTCACGCTTGCTAGGCAGGTGCTCTGTCATTTGAACCACTTCACCAGCCCTTTTTTGTGTTTGGTATTTTTGAGACAGGGTCTCATGAACTATTTCCCAGGGCTGGATTTGAACTGCCATCCTGCTGATTTGTACCTTCTGGGTGGCCAGTATTACAGGTGTGAGTCACTGGTGCCTGGCTAAGAAATTCTTTTTTTTTATTTGTATTATGTGGATTCCTTTATTTTTTTTTTCATTTTTCTTTTATTATTCATATGTGCATACAAGGCTTGGTTCATTTCTCTGGCTAAGAAATTCTTAATTTTTAAATTTATGGTTCATGCTTTTTGTGTTCTGTTTAAGAAATGTTTATTTAACCCAAGGTCACAAATGTATTTTCCTGTATTTTATTCTAAATTTTATTTTACTTTTTACCTTTAGCCACAATACAGCTGGAATTGATTTTTGTCTATGGTGTGAGATAGAAAGCCAGGATTTTTTCTACAGTTTGCCTCAGCCTTTATTCTTCCTCTCAGCCTATAGATGAGGATTCCAGTGCCTGGAGGTTTTATTTTTTTTCTATGTAACTGACCACCCAGCACTATTTATTGAAAGAAGATCCATGAACCAGTCATGGTGGCCAGGGGTGTGTGGTATGTTTTCTGTTTTTGGGGGTGATACTGGGGTTTGAACTCAGTGCCTCCTGATTGCTAGGCAAGCACTTAACCACTGAGCTATATCCCCAGTCCCCATATGTCCTAATTATGAGAGGCAATGTGGTACAGTGGGTAAGTGCAAGGTCCTGGCTCTGCCACCTATAAGCTGAGTGAACGTTAGCAAGCTGTCTAGTCTTCTTGTGACTCTGTTTCCCGCATCTGTCTAATGGGGGATGAAATAGCATCTGTCTTCTAGCACTGTCCTGAAAATGAAAGTTATTGGTATATGGAAAGAAAATTAGCTGCTATGATTGTATGTGGTTTTACTGCCAAATGTTCTTTGAGTTTCTCCCTCATCCCTCCTCCACCAAACCCACAATGGCACAAGGTTACTGCTTTGTATGTTTGATAATAAAAAAAACCCCCTAAACTCCTAATTTTAAAACACATTTAGGTTTACAGAATATTAGGATGATAGCACTGAGAATTCTCACAGACCTCCCGCTTGGTTTCCCTGTTAACGTCAGCGTGGTACACTTGTCATAATTAGTGTATACCAATATTGACACTCTGATATAAAGTAAACACCATACTGTATTCAGACTCCCTCTGCTTTTCTCTAATGTACTTTTTCTGCTCCAGGATCCCAGTCAGGGTGGACCCATTATAAATAGTTGTTCTGGACTGGAGGTGTGGTTAGAGTATCTGCTTAGCAAGCATGAGTTCAAACCCCAGTACTGCCAAGAAGAAAAAGAAAGAAAAAAGAAAAAAAGTTGTCCTGTCTGCTTAGATCCTTGGTTGTGAGAGTTTCTTAGGGTTTCCTGGCCCTAATGGTTCAGGGTTTGAACTCAGGACCTCATGCTAGCTAGGCAGGCACTCTCACTGCTTGAGCCACTTTACCAGCTCATAAAGGAGATTTTTTTTGGGGGGGTAATTTTTTAAAAGCTGAAATGTTTTAGGTTTTGGGGTCACATCAAAGTGTCTTGTACCCTAGGTCTTGGTCCTGGCCCCTGCCAGCCTGGGTCATACTGTGGGTGTGGGAAGAAGATAAGATGGCTGCCTTAGGTGCAGTGCTATGGTGAACATTGGAGACTTTGGCTGGAGATATAGCTTGGCTTTTAGATCTTTCCCATTCCTTCAGTGGCCTGCTCAGGAATAATCTGACTGACTAGTTTCCAGTAAAGTGGAACCAGCTGATGAAAGCTGGCTGGGAATCTCTTTATTGCTGGCAAGCACAACTTCCAAGTGGAGAGCTGACGATATCTCTGTCTGTACTCAGGTAATAGGGCTCAAGTTCTAGTGTGTGACCCTGGAGATAATCTGTAACTTCCTAAACGTCACTTTCCTTACCTGTAAAGAGGGATGGTAAATGTGCCAAATCTGAATCAACGTTAACACTTACCTGGAGCTTGAATTGAGAAGGATTGAAGAGACGGTACCATGGCTCAGTAGAAAAGTGTGCAGGGGTTGATTAGTGATGCCTGCCTTGGATATAGGTTAAGAAAATGCTGCTACGTGTGCTGTGTGTTTGTCATCACTCGATTAGATGTTTTCTAGGTTCTAGCTGCAAGCTCTGCTGGCTTAGCACCCTGGGAATGAGAGAGAATCAGGGTCACGGTCAAGTGACCTGATGTGGGAAGGTGAGCATGGCCAGTGCCCTGCTGATGACTCTCTGTTCTACAGAGTTCACCCATGCGGGGCAGGGTGGGCTGATGGAAGAGCCCACAGGTGATGAGCTGCCAACGAAGAAGGGGCGGAGGAACCGTTTCAAATGGGGCCCAGCATCCCAACAGATCCTGTTCCAGGCCTACGAGAGGCAGAAGAACCCCAGCAAGGAGGAGCGAGAGACCTTGGTGGAGGAATGCAATAGGTAGAATGGCTGGTGGGTGGGAGTGCCTGTTTGGTCAGGGCTGAGGCAAGGTTGGGGAAGAGGAGGTGACTCTCTGTCTCAAGGGGTGCTCTTCAGTCCTTGAGAGCTCCTGTTGTCAGTTTAGCCTGGCCCAGAGAGTTGAGGGGACTCAGGCTCCTGCTCACTGTCCTGAACTGAACCCTTTTCCTAACATCCTAACCCACTCACCCACCCATGCTACCCTTTGGATGGCTGCTCATCTCACTGCATACCTGCCACAGTCATGGCTATTTTACTCATACATGATGAGGTCAGAGATCTAAGTCACTTTTCCAAGGTCACAGAGCACCCAGATCTGCCAGCCGAGCACTCAGATAGAGCTCTACTTCTCAGAACCCATCTCCCTTCTCCAGGTGAGGGCTCCTTGGAGCCTGGCCTGGAGGCTCACAGGTGGCCATCCTTGCAGGGCAGAGTGCATCCAGAGAGGAGTGTCACCATCGCAGGCACAGGGACTGGGCTCCAACCTTGTCACAGAGGTGCGTGTCTACAACTGGTTTGCTAACCGGCGCAAGGAAGAAGCCTTTCGTCACAAACTGGCCATGGACACATACAGTGGGCCCCCATCAGGGCCAGGCCCGGGACCTACGCTGCCTGCTCACAGCTCCCCTGGCCTGCCCCCAGCAGCCCTCTCCCCCAGTAAGGTCCACGGTGAGTGCTGCGGCGTAGGGCGATGGGGACAGGAGGTAGAGGGGACAGCAGGTAGGTAGGAGGGTTTAAGTAAGTAGGAGGTCCCAGTGGAAGTATTTATTCTAATGTCTTAGCACTTCAGTTTGGTTTCATTCCACTGTAGTCCTTACCTTCCCATTCCATCTGCTCCACTCCATGCTCCCATGCAACTCCATTCTATTCCACTCCACTCCACTCCATTCCTTTCCACTCCACTCCATTCTATTCCACTCCACTCCACTCCATTCTATTCTATTCCATTCCATTTCCTCCATTCCTCTGCAATCCAGTCCAGTCCACTCCACTCCACTCCATTCCACTCCACTCCACTCCACTCCATTCCACTTCACTCCACTCCATTCTATTCCATCCACTCCACTCCATTCCATTCCATTCTATTTCATTCCATTCCCTCCATTCCTCTCCACTCCACTCAAATCCACTCATTCCACTCTATACCACTCCATGACTCCACTCTATCCTTTCCACTGTACACCCACTCCAACTATTCCACTCCATTTACTCAACTCCATTCCACCCACTCCATTCTACACCACTCCATTCACTCTGTCCACTCTGTTGCACTCCATCTACTTTACTTCATTCCACTGACTCCACTCCATACCATCCCTCTATGCTTATCCACACTTTCTTCCACCCTTTCTACTCCATTCCTCTCCAGTCTACTCCATTCACTTGACTTTACTCTTTACTTCATCCACTCCACTCAACCCACCTCACACTAGTCCTTCCCATCTCATCCATTCATTCCACACCTTCTAATCCATGTCATTCATTACACTCCTTATCACCCTACTTCATCCATTCTAGTCCACATAACCTGACTCAGGTTATCTCAGTGCAGAGCATTCATTGCAGAGCTATCAGTTTCAATCATTTCAGTACAACTCAACTCAATTCAATTGTGTTCAAGTCATTATCATACCATTTAGTTCCCCTAAGTTTGTCACAGTTTAATCCAACCAATTTCCACTCAGTGCATTTTTTAACTTTGCATAATTCAATGAAATTCAGTTAATTTTGTATAGTTTTCCCTTGGTATCTGTGGGGGGATTGGTTCCCCCCTTGCAGATACTAAAATCCAAAAGTGCTCAAGTTCCTTATATAAAATGGCATGGTATTTGCACTTAACCTGCATATATTCTCTCATGTACTTTAAATCATCTCTGAATTACTTATAATACCCAATATAATACTGTATTATTTAGGGAATAATGAGAAGATGTGTTCCGTACAGACAGTTTTTTTTCAATTATTTTCCACCTGCAGTGAGTTGAATCTGAGGATGTGGATTACATCCCTCTGTATCACAGAGGGATGACTGTAAAGCTCAATTCGATTTACTCCAATTCCAATTGATTTAATTCAGCTCAACTCAATTAGGCTCAATCTAGCTCAATTTATTTCAGGTTCAATTCAGCTAGACCTAGTTTGATTCAACCAATTCCAATTCATTCTATTCGACTCTGTTCACTTCAGTTTAATTCCATGAATCACTGGAACTGAGCTGAATCAGTTCCAGTGTCTTTTATTGAGTATCTACTGCATGTCAGGGCCTGCACTAGGCAGTGGGGGCCATGAAGCTAATACAGTGCATCCCTTGCTTTCAAGAAGCTGCTTGCAGCCCACACAGGGCATGGCCAGAGGTGGCTGCTCAGCAAAGTTCCCTGGCTGTGTCAGGGAAGAGGGGGGGTGGCAGTGGTAACTGGCCTGAGCAAACCAGGCCAGGAGTGATGAGGTCTACAGGGCCAGATGAGGACAGGGAGGTGGGTACTAAGGATAGACACTGTCCCCTACTTCAGGTGTGCGCTATGGACAGCCTGCAGCCAGCGAAGCAGCAGAGGTGCCCTCAAGCAGTGGTGGTCCCTTAGTGACAGTGTCTGCACCCTTGCACCAAGTGTCCCCCACAGGTCTGGAGCCCAGCAACAGCCTGCTGAGCACTGAAGCCAAGCTGGTGAGTGTCCCCTCCCTGTGGGGAAAACCCTTCCAACCCCATTTTCTGTGACTGGGGGATCCGACTAGAGTGATCCCCAGGGACACAGTGTGGGGTCCACTTTGACTTACCTTGGCTTCCCCTTACAGGTCTCAGCAGCTGGGGGTCCTCTGCCTCCTGTCAGCACCCTAACAGCCCTTCACAGTTTGGAGCAGACATCCCCAGGCCTCAACCAGCAGCCTCAGAACCTCATTATGGCCTCACTGCCTGGGGTCATGACCATTGGACCTGGGGAGCCTGCCTCCCTGGGCCCCACATTTACCAACACAGGCGCCTCCACTCTGGTCATTGGTATGGCAGTGGGAGTGGGTGGGTCACCTGGGAGGCTCATGGGGGACCTATAGAACCTAGGAATTGGAAAGAGCCATGAGGATTCATTCATTCATCTACATGATGTCTATTTTCTTTTTTTGGAAAATACTGGGGATTGAACTCAGGGTCTCATGCTTGCTAGGCAAGCACTTTACCACTTGAGCCACACCCCAGTCCTTTTGCTTTTTCAGTTTTTCAGATAGGGTCTCACACTTTTGCCCCAGCTGACCTCAGCCTCAATCTTCCCATCTTCATTTCCCAAGAAGCTGGATTACAGGTGTCCGTTACCTGTTTTCTCAGTGCTATTTTTTCCTATATCTGATGTGTGAGGGAACTGTTTGGACCAAAATCTCAAAGAACTAGATGGTGAGGCAGGCACTAAGCATAATGCATAAATTACACAGGACTTGAGGAGGTGAGAGGTCTTTGGGAAAATAGACCAGGGTAAATGGTGGTTGATTTTTTTTTGAAAGTCATTATTTGCAGGAATGATTATGCAAATGTATAATCTTGGTTAATATTGAAGACAGATAGGGAGCTGCTGGGAGAGGACAGCAGAGACTTAAGTCCAGAACCTTTGCACTGCTGTGGAACCCCAGGGAATTCAGTTTTACAACCTTTGAACTAGTCACTGCCTGCTTTTCCCATCAGCTAAAGGCTCGGAGAAGGGGAGTGACATGCCAGGGTCACTTAAGTTAGTGGCAGATCTTCCTGCTGGGCTTTTCTCTTTTCTTCTCCTCTCCTCTCCCTTCCTTTCCCCTCTCTTCCCCTCCTATCCTCTTCTTTCTCTGTTTCTTTCCTTTCTCTCCTTTCTTCCTTTCATCCTTCCCTCTTTCCTTCCTTCTCCCTTCCTCCCTCCCTCTTTCCTTCCTTCCTTTTTTTGAGATAGAATCTTACGTAGCTTAGGCTGGTCTCGAACGCTCAATCCTCTGGAGAGTGTTGGGATTACAGGCATGAACCACTGTGCCTGGTTCAGGGCAGGCACTCCTCTTCCAACTCAGGGGCTCTGGGAAGGAGGCGATTGTACTTCCAGGGGCTCGGTGCTTGGTCTGGGGGGCAGTGGGAAGGTGGAGGCTCTGCTGACTCTGGCCCCTCCTTTCTCTCCTGCGCAAGGCCTGGCCTCCACTCAGGCACAAAGCGTGCCTGTTATCAACAGCATGGGCAGTAGCCTGACCACGCTGCAGCCGGTCCAGTTCTCCAGCCACTGCACCCCTCCTATCAGCAGCCTCTCATGCCACCTGTGCAGAGCCACGTGGCCCAGAGTCCCTTCATGGCCACTATGGCCCAGCTGCAGAGCCCTCATGGTAAGCGCTCCTCACTCAGGGCCAGGGGAAGTGGGCTGGAGGCTGGATGTGGGTTTTGGTCTTCGTGCTTCTGTGACAGCGGGTGTCTGAGGGTCACAGATTGTTTCCATGTGTGAATACGCATAGCTGTGTGCACATGCCTGGGCTCCCAGGGTGTACACGTATGTCCACCGGTTGTGTTCCTGGCTGTTTGTGTTCACGTGTGGGTTCCTCTAGAACCCTCAAGGCCACGTGCACGTCAGAGTCCACTATTTTTCAGATTTTCAAAAGATAGCTTGGGGGCTGTACCATGTACTACCTGCCCATCCCCCAGGACTTGGCAGCATCGTCTCCACAGCACTGCTGTTCGTGCAGAAGGCAGGGACTTCATGAAGCAGGTTAAACACTTGCAGAGCGACAGCCAAGGCTAAGACAGCTTTTAGTTTCAGACCTTTTTGGAACTGAGGATTGGGATAAGGGGCTGTGGACCTGTATGTCTCTGGGGTGCACATGGTCACAGTATGTTTTTGTGTGTATATGGGTGTTATGCTTTTATGAGTCCCTGCAAAAACACATGGTCAGTGTGTGTTTTGCGAGTTTCTGTGTGCCTCTGGGGGTGGGCGCTGTGGGTGAAACGTTGGGTTACATGTTGGAGAGGAGCTATTGCTGCCTTCTGCCCTGCTCACCCCACCAGAGGCCACCTGTCTTTCCTCCTGAGGCCTGTGCTTAGTGGAACAGCATCTGTGCTTAGTACAATAGTGCTTGCACTGAGAACAGCAGCACCCATGCTTAGTATATTGCTAGAGCTTAGTACAATAGCACCTGAGCTTAATACAGCAGAGCCTGCACTTAGTGTAATAGCCCCTGTGCTTAGTACAGCCTTGCCTGTGCTGTCTGTGGTTTTTAGGTGACAAAAGGAGCTACAGTTGGTTCAAGGGTTCCTCCTGGGAATTAGCCTATCAGCTCCCTGGAGTGTGGGAGAGGCTCCCTCACTACCTGGCCTCAATCACTGTCCTGCCGGGCTTTTCAGATGGCCCCATGCCCACTTTCCCCAGAGCCCGCACTCTTGAGGCTTCTAAGAGGAATCAGGTCTGTCCAGGGTGCCATGACCGTGTCCTCCTCTCTCTTCCTCCCTCCCTCCTGGCCAGCCCTCTACAGCCACAAGCCCGAGGTGGCCCAGTACACACATACAGGCCTGCTCCCACAGACCATGCTTATCACTGACACCACCAACCTGAGTGCGCTCGCCAGCCTCACGCCCACCAAACAGGTAAGGCCCTGGCTCTCCTGTAGCCCCACCCGGAGGCCCCCATTCCACAGCCCAGGAACTCAGGAGGCTGCTTTGGTCCCCCAGGTCTTCACATCAGACACGGAGGCCTCCAGTGAATCGGGGTTGCACACGCCAGCATCTCCAGCCACCACTATCCACATACCCAGTCAGGACCCTGCTAGCATCCAGCACCTGCAGCCTGCCCACCGGCTCAGCGCCAGCCCCACAGGTGAGTGGCCCTCGTCCTGCTCCTTTGTGGATGTTCTCTGGTAGGGTGTGGGGAGGAATGCCGTGGATGAAGGGCAGATGGGGGAGACACTGCCTGTCTCCCAACATGGCTTGTGTACTGTGAAATGTGGCCAAGCGGCTGAGCTGCAGAATGGGGCCAGATTTATAGGAACAGATCATTGGATAGAAAGATTAAGCAGCAGCATGGCGGAGTAATGAGAAGTTATCTGGGCCAGAAGTGACTCACTAGTAGAGATGCCATTTGGCGCGGTTCAGGGCTGAATACTCTTTGAATGGCCAGCTTTTACTAATCAGGGGCTTGCATATAGAAGTCTGGCTTCCTGGCCTCTTGGGAAATTGGAGGACTCATGTTCCCACGCCACCAGAGCACTTCACCCACTCGTGTCCAGGCCCTGAAGACTCCTGGACGTCCCCAGTTTGCAACCTATCATGTCATGGCCAAGAGCAGGCATCTTGGAATCAGGGTGCTAGGCTTTGAAGTATGAGGTGGCCACTGTTAACTGTCTGCCTCCAGGCATGTCACTTCCCTCCGCAAGCCTCAGACTTCCCCGTCTCGCCTGCTGGCACAAGTGACAGTTATGCAGGGCACGCCATCTTTCAGCCCCATGCTTTACCCTGTGAGTTGGGAAAGTGGACACTCAGGGTGAGGGACCTGTCTCCTCTCTTACAATTATGGGGTGGCAAAGCCAGGACTTGAACCCAGGCCTAACCCCAAAGCCCATTCTCTTAACCACTTCCATCAGTTAAGGTCCTCCCAACTTAGAACCAGTGGGGACATATCCGTGTCCCCTTACAGGGAGGTTTAGCTAAACAGGGGTGATCACAGGGGCTGGCAAGCCTGCCATCTGTAGGGCAGGCCAGATATCCAGGCAGGAGGCAATTCTGCATTCTTGAGGCAGAATTCCTTAATCTCTCGGTAACTTCATTTTTTTTGCTCTTAAGGCTTGCGACTGATTAGATGAGGCCCGCCCATAAAAATCAAGGGTAAATTCCTTTCTTAAAGTCAATTCACTGTGTTAGCCACATCTACAAAACACCATCCAGCAACACCTAGATTAGTGTTTGATTCAGCCCAGCCCAGAATAGCTGACACACAAAACAATCTCACCAGGGCCTCTAGATGTTTATAGTGTCCTCACCAAAACATCCTAAGGCAGCCACCTCTGCTGGCCCTGAGAGCAGAGGCCTGACTTTGGGGTTCCTGTGATCGTTTGGGATTCAGGAGGTGATGGGCAGGTAGGGTGAGGTCAGAGATGTAGCCAGTAGCCAGCCGCCTCATTTCCCTCTGCAGTGTCCTCCAGCAGCCTGGTGTTGTACCAGAGCTCTGATGCCACCAACGGACACAGCCACCTGCTGCCATCCAACCATGGTGTCATCGAGACCTTCATCTCTACGCAGATGGCCTCTTCCTCCCAGTAACCATGGTGACCACCTCCCAGGGGCCAGGCCCTAGAGCCTGCACTGCCTGCCTGGGGGGTGATGAGGGCTGCAGCCACACGGTCTGGAGGACCTCGAAGCCTGCCATGCTTCTGCTGCTGTCTTTCCTGGAAAACTCTGTCTTGGTCCCTTTGTCAGCACTAGAAAGGGACAGTTCCACGGGGGTCCTGGCCTGAAGGAGGGCTGTGTCAGCTGAACAAGAGTGGACCACGGAGAGCCAGGAGCAGTCTGTTCCTGGTAGGATTCTAAAAGGCCCATCCCTACTGCTCAGGATAAAACACTTATTATTTAGAACAGAAGGGGCAGGCTTTGGCTTTGGAACTCCCAGCCTGGACCTGCAGAGCCTTGGGGCCTCAAAGGATTTCCAGCAGTCACACTTCTCACAACACTAGCCTGGGTAGCTGTGACTTGCTGAGCTGAGAGGCCCTAGGTCAACACAGTTGCCTTCTGTCACCTATGTACCCACCAGGCCACTCAGCTCCTTCTAGCTGGTGAGCCACATATCCACTTGTGCATACTCCTGTCACCTGGGCATTTCCTGAGTGGCTGCTCTGTGCCAAGGCCAGGTGTTTAGACTCCCAGGCTGTGGGGGAGACTAACAGTAAGGCAGCAAAGTTCTCCCGTCTCCCTTGTCCTGAGCCACCCCTTCCTGGCCCCAGGATCACGTTTTCCTGGTCACTCATTTCCTTGACCATCATGCCTTCTGGTGCTTGCCTCTTCTAGAAAGGCCACTGCAGGGCTAAGAAATGGTCCTTGCTCCTGAAGGTGACTGGTGACTAATGCCAAGCCCTGGTCCCAGGGCAACAGCTCCTCCAGCCTCAGGACCTGCACGCTTCCTTTGTATGTGTATCTGTAAGTCACTGAGCTCAAAAGGCTGCAAAGCCTGAGCAGCTGGCAGAGCTGAGGTGGGAGAGCAGTGGTGAGACTGGCAGAGGGGCGCCTCGTGAATGACCTGGAATGATGGTCAGAGCAGAGTCTCCTGGCTAAGGGATTGGGCTCAGGCAGTTGGCAGCCACCTGCCACTTTGAGAAGTCCGAGATCCTGATCACCACTGGGAGGGACAAAGCAGCTGTGTGAACCCAGGACACGCATGATCTCATCTCCTTTGGCCTGCTGCAAACAACTTGGACCTTAGCAGGCCCATCCACCAAGGCTTGAGGAAGGATCCTGGGGAGAACCAGCGCCCCCTGCAGCTTGCACCCAGCTTATGGGCGAGCTTCTACATTTATTTAACTTTTAGTAAAGTCTGTGAGAGATGTAAGCAAATGTTCTGCTTGTCCAGGAGTGATTCAGATGGGGGTTGGGCAGGCAGCGGGAGGCTGAGGTGGGCAAGGGGCCTGAGGGGCTGAGACAGGCTCCAGCGACACCTGCCCACACCCACCAGTTTCTCTTGCTCTGGTGAAACTGAGGTGAGGTGATGGCACCAGAATTTTACATTAACCGTGAGCTTTTATCCCTTGCTGCATGAAACCTAGCCCTAATGTTGTAACACTTCCTGGCTTGAAGCTAGAGTGAAGGAACGTATCTTGGGGAGTCTGGGCAAGAGGACCCTACATAAAGTGATAGTTATTTAAAATGTCTGAAGATTCAGCATCGATGATGCCTGCCTGTAATCAGTACTAGGGACGCTGAGGCAGGAGAATTTCAAGTTCAAGGCCAGCCTGAGCTACACAGTGAGAACTTGTCTCTGGTGTGTGGTGTACATTTGTACTCAGAAGGTGGAGGTAGGACTGCAGTCTGAAGCCAATCTGGAAAAAGCACAGGACTATCTGAAAAACAAACTAAAAACAAAAGGACTGGGAGCGTGGCTCAAGTACTCATGTGAGGCTCTGAGTTCAATCCCTAGCACCACCAAACACCAAACCAAAACAAAAAAGGAGATTCAGCACTGACAGGAAGGTAGCACCTAAGTCACTCTCAGTTTTGGGTCACTCGACAATTTTCTTCCCTTTTTTCCTTCTCTGGTGCTATGGATGGAACCCAGGGCCTCGTGCATTTTAAGGATGTGCTCTACCACTGAGCTACATCCCAGCCCACTGACAATTTATTTTTGATAAGTTAATTGACTCAGAGACATTATTGTGCACAGCACATTCACAAATGTGGAGAAAGAAAATTCCAAAAAACTGGGGTTTGTGTGTGGGAAATCTCTCTTTTCCCAGGCAATGCTTTATCAAGTCCAGATGGCCTAGGGGGAGAAGTGCAGAAGTTTTTCTGGCCCTCAGCATCTTGGGGACCCTTTCCTCCTTTCCTAAAGACTGTTTCCCACACCAGGCAGAGAAGGTAGGGGAGGGAGGTCTCCCTGTACTTGCTCACCTCAGACAGTGTTGGGAGATAGCTTTACCACTTGGCCTTTAGTCTTGAGTATCTGGAAGACCCTTCCTGGGGCCATGGAATGTCCTCAAACCACAGGTCTTCCTGGCTCATGGAACCCAGTGAGGCAGGCCTTGCTCAGCCTACAGCCACTTCTTTGTGTGGACTTGCCAGCCAGGTGCTTGAACGTGGAGGGAGGCGGGGCTTGGAAATGCTTTGTCCCCACGGGTACCTTGCCTTTGAACTGGTAGGGCCCGGTGCCCACAGTCTGGGGTCAGTTTGTAGGCATGGCTGCTGCACTCTTTGCTGGTGAGCATGGGGAAGCCTCACTGGCGTTCTTGGCCTTTTTTTTCCTTTTCTTCTTTTTGGTCCCAAGTGAAACCTGGTCCCCATTGATCCTGCCTGACTCCTTGTCCTGCTTCTGGACTGTGGCCTTGCTGGTGGGGGTAGTGGCTATGGCCAAGTCAAGGTCAGCCACTGTCTTGGCTTTCTTTTTCAACTTCCTTTTCTTCTTCTTGGCCTCCTTTTCCACCTTGACAGGCACATGGATGGCTGACTCCTGGAGAATGTCAGAAGCTGACACAGCTGCCTCCCGGCACCGCTGCCATTCCTCGTCACTGTCCTCGCTGCTGCAAAGGGAGGGTGGTCATGTTAGATGCAGTGAGGATGGTTTCAAGGCTGCCTCTTGATGCCCTCCCTCCATCTAAGCCATGAAGCAGGCAGTTAAGAGCACTTAGGTTCAGGAATGAGGCAGACCTACATTCTAAGACCAGCTTCTCTGCTCACCAGCTGCGTGACCTCACTGAGTGATTTAACTTCTCTGACCCTCAGTATCTTCATCTATAAAATGGGGATCTTAACAGAACCCAGGCCTCACAGGGATGTCTCAGGAGGTAGATGGGTGCTCAAAAAGCAGTGAAGATCTAGCCCTACCCCACTCCCAAAAGCCCTCCCAGCCCTCCCTCTGGGTACACTACTTCTCCAGTGACCTGAACTGACCCTTTCTTTGGTCTGAACGCAGTTGGGATCTGTGTGGACCAGCTAAAACTGAAGAGAAGCAAAAAGGAGGGGATGTGAGGAGAGGGTGAGCTCCATACCTGGAGCTGGAGGGCCGTCGCTTTTGGTGGGGTTGGGGAGGCGTTTCCTCCTCAGGACCTCCGGGGATGGATGTGAAGAAGAGGCGGAAGCCTAAGATTTACAGGGTAGAGTCAGCGTGGGCGAAGCCACTTTTCCAACCCAGATGCTAGGCTGCCCGCTTCCACCCTCAAAGAGCTCTGGTCCAGCGGCAGAAGCCTAGGCATTACTGTTGTGTGACTGCAAACCGAGGCCTATGCGAGGAGAGGTCTACTTAGCCCCTGATGGAGGTGGAGTGTGGGGAGGGCTCAAGGGCGCTCGCTGCCACATCAGGGCAGCAAGCCCCAGTGGCTTGTAGAAGTTAGCAATTGAGCCTTCTACCGAAGGCAGCCTCCCAAGAAGCTGTAGAGTTCAGTGGAGGCCTGACAGAGTTGGACTGGGAGGCTGTGGAGCTACAGGCCTCCTGCAGGTTACTGCAGGAAAGTGACTTGGACTCTCAGAGCCTCAGTTCTCTCATCTGTGAATGGGGGTGCACTCCTGTCTCTCGGCAAGGGTTGACAGATGAAAGAAAAGATGTCCCAACTGGACTGCTGGCTCCAGATACTCCAGACACTCAGCTGTTATTAGCAGTATAGCCACTCACCATCATCCTCCGAGGCCATGTCTCGCTCCTCCTCTTTCCTTGGCTCCTTCACTACTTCTGAGATGGTAATGGAGCTAAAGGGAGAGGAGTAGGCTGACTTAGGATGAGATTCTGGGTAACACAAATTAGTTTTCTTTTAAGTGGAGGCACTGGGGCATATGATCTTAAATACAAGACTGGCCTGGTAAGAAGGCTAATTAATGGCTCTAGCCATAACACGCTCAACAGCCCCTCCCCACTAAACAGTACTGCTTCATATGCGTAGACTCCACTTTATTCTAGGTAGAGTTGAAGAACTTTGCAGATATAGTACAACAAAAGGAATGCAACTGCAAATGGGGCAGACACAAAATGGTGGTGGTGGGGCAAAAGTGTCAGAAGTGTGATCAGGCAGTCCTCTTGTTAGTGAAATGGCATCCATTCAGCTCTACTATGTAGAAGCAAAGGCTTCTCCAGTGACAGAATTTGGGTCTTCTGATAAAGATTTTTCTAGGACAGCAAGCAAGGGAATCATGACCCTAGAGAAGTGGTTCTGAGGCCAGCTTCTAGAACAGGGAAGACTCACTATTTTTTTTTTTTTCCTATTGTTTTTTTGAGACAAGGTCTTGCTATGTAGCCTAGGTTAGCCTTGAACTTAAAATCTTCCTCCGATTTTAATTTTTAAAAAATTTGGGATATTGTACATTGACAGAAGCTATAAGAAATAACATAAAGAGGCCAGGTGCTGGGGGCTCATGCCTGTAAATCCTAGCTACTTAGGAGGCAGATATCAGGAGCATTGTGGTTTGAAGCCAGCTTGGGCAAATAGTTCATGAGACCCAATCTCGAAAAACCCCATCAAAAAAAAAGGGCTGGTGGAGTGGCTCAAGATGTAGGCCCTGAGTTCAAACCCCAGTACCACCAAAAAAAAAAAAAAAAAAAAGAGACTCCAAATATCATGAATAACTATAGTACAGTATCATAACCAGAAAACTGAAATAGATATAATCCGTTGACCTTATTTAAACTTCAGAGTCCTGGGTTTGAATCCTGGCTTTGTCACTTACTGTGTCCCTTTAGCAAATGAATTCACTTCACTGAGTCTCTGTTACTAATCTGTACACTGGGAATGACGACAGTCCCTACCTCTTCGGGTTGACACAAGGATTAAATGAGAATGGATATTAAGCACTTAGCACAGAGCCTGGCCAACAGCAGGTGCTCAGTAAATGGTGGCTGTGATGATGAATGTTATCAAGATAAGCAACAAACTTCACAGAGCCTCTAACAGGAAGATAAACCATAGCTCTCTAGGAAGCCCATTTCTGCTGAATGCTGAGAAGGCACTGTGTGCTGCACAGAGCAACACTCCTTTTAGCAGTGCCCTCACACCTGTAATCTCAGTTTACTTGGGAGGCAGAGACAGGAGGATCATGGTTTAAGGCAGCTTGGGCAAAGTTAAGCCTATCTGAAAAATAAGCTAAAAGCAAAAGGGCTAGTGGGGTGGGGCACTTGCCTAGCAAGTGTGAGGCCCTGAGTTCAAACCCCAGAATGGCAAAGCAACAACAAAACAAAATCAATGTCCTTGCAGCAAACCAGCAGTGCTTTCGGTGCTTTCCCTACCATTGGCCCAGGGAACCCCAAAGCCCTGCTTAGGAAAAGAATCTGGGGCGAGACAGGAGATGATGCCATCCCGGCACCAGTCTCTGACCTGATGTAACAGATTGGTGTGGGTTTCAAGGCGCACTTGGTAACGTCTGGAGACATTTATGTTGTCACAACTGGGCTACTAACAAGTTTTGCACAGATGACAGGGATGTTGCCAAACATCCTATGACGCAAAGAACAGCTCCCGTGACAAAAGTCCCTGGCTGAAAATGACTACAGTGCCTGGTTTAGACACCTGATCCAACACAGGGACCAAATGAATTATCATTTAAGTCTCTTAGACAGAAACAGGAAAACATTGCAGGGAATATTTTGGCCATGGGTGACCAGAGTTCTGCTGGATTTCCACTTGGGAAACATCTGTGGTGGCTTACTGTAATGCCAAGCAGGCTTGGTCACTCCAAAGTCAACAGTCACAAAGAATGCTCCCATGGGCTGTGACACACCTAGCCTTCTTAAACCCCTGTACCACTTTCTTGAGGTGGGGACTGGCATGAATGATTAGGGGATTTGGGTTGATGGGTTCTGGTCCAACAACATTCTGTCTCAGAAGAACAGTTAATCTACAGTCTACATTTGTTCTTTGATATTTACTTCAAGTGGAAGGGCTGTGGTTTCATTTCCCTTTCATAATCTGCTAGGGTTCTGCCAGTCAGGAATGGATCTAAACCAGCTCATTCTGGAATGTGTTCCACTGTATGTTGGTTGGTCTTCTGTGAAGTAAAGGCACTGTGGTTAAATGAGTCTGGAAAATGCTGGTCCAAACAAAGTCATATAGATCTCTTTACCACAAATTCTCGGAATGGTAGATACACAATTATGACTCTCAACCTCCAAGTACACACGAACATAAACAGATTGCAGTGCTTCTCAAACTTTTCTGCTGTTGGGACCCCATGCTTTAGGCTAGTACTAAGGTCTGAATGTTTGTGTCCCCCAAAAGTCGTATGTTGAAATCTAATCCCCAAGGTGATGTTATTAGGAGGTGAGGCCTTTGGAAGGTAATTAGATCATGGGGGTGGAGCCTTCATAAATGGGACTTGTGCCTTTGTAAAAGAAGCTTGAGAGAAACTCTCTCTCGAGACTCACCACGTAGGGACACTGTGGGAAGGTGGCATCTATGACAGAGGGCCTCAGACAGTAAGTCTGCAGGTGCCCCCATCTTGGACTTCTGTCTCCAAAACATGAGAAAAACAAATCTGTTTTTTCTAAGCTACTCAGTTTATCATATTTCATTACAGCAGCCCGAATGGACTAACACAAGGAACAGTCTTGGTGGTGACTTTAGGAATGATCCAGGTGATTGGCAGAGCCCTAGCAGGCTGTGAAAGAGAGATGAGGATTTGTGGTCAAGGTCCTTCCATTTGAAGCAAGTATCAAAAAGGACAAATGAGCCTTCCCAAAGTGTAGGCTGGCATTCCTAAGCCAGTCCTTTCAGACTGTGCTCTTGACCTGCACTGGGAATAGAAGGCAGAGAACTGACAGTGCCTGGCACACAGAGAGCAGCCCAGAACGACAGGTTCCATTCTTCCTTGCCCTCTTGTGCTGGGAATGAGCTCTTGCGTCTTGTGGCTCCTCTTACTCTCCTGGTAGCAGAAGGCAGGGTCACTGGGTAGGGCTTTGTGATGTGTTGCACATGATGCACTGAAGGGACATGCCACACGCCCACTTAGATGCTGAGAGCTCCCAACAAGTGTGCACCCCTGCTGTTTGTATTATGAGAGCAGAAGACAACCTCAATCTTCTTCTTCAAGTGAGCACCCACTTTTCCAAGGTCAGAAGGGAAGCCTCATCTGGTGTTTCTGCGTTCACAGTGGATCACATTTTGCCTGTGAGACAAAGGTTAGCTTCTACCTTACACAGCGCTGCTGCTCCCAGATCCAGCACACAGGGCCATAACTTTGACCTGGGACTCTAAGGTCATCCTTACCCCAAGACCTAAGCTAAGGTCAAATAGTCTTAGTGTCTTTTGATTGTCTAAATCATGGTTGCCAGGGAGACAGATTCATCCATTTTGCATGACTGTTCTATTCCAGAATCTAGAAGCAAAAGCTTCTCCAGTGACAGAATTTGGGTCTTCTGATAAGGACCGTTCTGGGAGAGAAGCTATCATCTACATCAAAAACTCTGAGTACGTTCAGATGGATCCATATTTGTTCCTCATCATCAATCCTAGCAGAAAAAGAAGGAACAGAAACACTGCTAATTCCTTTCCCTACAGATCTGACCTTGTCCAGGTCTTGGGTGTGGTTAATATTGGATTCTACTTCCTGAGTTCCTTCTGTAGGGTGCGGGGGGTGGCTCTGGAAGGATGAATGTGCTTTTGCTTACCTGTCCAGCAGGGCTCTCAGCTTCTTGGCTACATGGGCTCGGAACTCAGGGGTGGTCTGAAGCTCATTGCCATCTTGGTCATGCTCGTCTACCTTCAGCCTACAACACACAGTAAAGCACCTCACCTCCTGCAAGCTCAGAAGCTGCACCCCCACAAGGGCAGGGACTATGTGTCTCATTTCCTCTGATATCCCAGAGTCTAATCTAACATCTGGGACACATGTGATCTGTATTTGTTGAATGAATATATGAAGCTTCTACCCAAAGCTCACAGTACCTGAGGCTCGGCTGAGACGGTGGCAGCTGGTTTCCTGTAGCATCTATGGAGGAAGCAACAACAAAACATCTGTTGTGTGCCAGGCACTATTTTAAGTGATTTACATATATAGCTCAGGGAATCTTCTCCAAAGCCCCTTTGGAGGGGGTGGCCATTATTTCCATTTTGCAGAAGACGGAAACTGAAGGAGACAAACTGACTTGGCCAGAGTCTAAGAACTAATTTAACAGAGTTGGGAAGATGACCCAGGTCACCTGGCTCTAGAGTCCCCTGTTAACCATCATGCTGAACAGGCAAGTCTAAGTAATTTCACTGCATAATTTACTTTTTTTTGCGGTACTGGGATTTGAACTCAGGGCCTACATCTTGGCCACTCCACCAGCCCTTTTTTGTGAAGGATTTTTTCATGATAGGGTCTAGCGAACAATTTGCCCAGGCTGGCTTTGAACTGCGATCTTCCTTATCTCTGCCTTCTGAGTAGCAAGGATTACAGGTGTGAGTCACTGGCGCCTGGCATCACTGCATAATTTATTGAGTACTTATTATGTATCTGGCTGTGTGCTAAGTGCTATGAGAGAAGAGAGATCACATTTTTCAAGCCAAAACACTGAGGATCCCCATTCTGGTTGTCTTTTATTCAACCCAATACCTGATGCCTGTTAATAGCCAGGTGTCTAGCTGCTGATGACTTAGACAAGTACCCCTATCTTCATGGAGCTTATGGAGTTGGTTGAGACAGATGACAAGCACACATTAAACAAAATATAAAATTAGATAATAAATTTATGGAAAACCCCAAAACAAAGCAGAGGAGAGAGGCGGGGAGTGCTGGGTGGGACACCCTTAAATAAAGGTGGGCTGATAAGATAACAACAGAACAGAGAATTAAGAGGTGAGGGAGTGAGTCAAGTGGATACCTAGGAGAGCCCCTTCCAGGTAAAGGGAAGAATATGTGCAAAGGCCCCGAGGCAGGATTGTAAGGGAAGAATATGTGCAAAGGCCCCGAGGCAGGAATCTGTCTGGGGTTTGAGATCCAGCTGGAGATGGTGTTGCAGTAGAGATGCAGAACTCATGGAGGCCAGATCACCAAAGCACCATGAAGGCCAGTGCAAGGACCTTGGCTTTGAGAAAGAGGACCCACTGAAGGATTCTGTACAGAGGAGGGACAGAAACTGACTTAGGTTTTCATAAAATGTCTCTGGATGCTGTGTGGAGCAAGACCAGAGTGGATATGACAAATAGAAGGAGTGAGCTGATATGACTGAGAACTCTGGTACAGGCAGTTTGAAGATGGTGTCCACAGGATGGTCTGCATGCAGGGTGTGGGAGTCAGACGAGAGGCTGCTCTGAGGTTTCTGACTTGGATAATGGTACAAAATGGGCTTGTGGTTTTTTTTTTTTTTTTTTTGGTGGTACTGGGGATTGAACTCAGGGCTTCATGCTCTATCATTGGAGCTACACCCTCAGTCCTCCTTTAGTTTTTAGTTTGGTTTTTGGTCAGGGTTTCATTTTTGCCATGGGCTGTGATTCTCCTACCTGTTTCCTGAGTAGTTGGGATTATAGGCACACACCCCCACGCCTGGCTTTTTTTTTTTGAGATAGGATCTCACTAACTTTTTGCTCAGGCTGGCCTTGAGCCGTGATCCTCCTGTCTCTACTTCCAGAGCAACATGCTTGGGATTTTAGGTGTGAGCCACTGTGCATGGCCCTTGCGCTTGTATCTTTAAGGGACCAACTGAACAGAATGGACACTTGGTAACTCTGGGTCTAATGCAGGGCATGAAGTATTAAACAATTCCAGGGGACACTGCTGTGTTTGTGCCATCATGCATTCACATTGCGTCTGTATCCTGGTAAACTGTGGTCTATGTTGATGTGCTCTGCAGGATAACAGAGACAAGCAAGTGCCTTATGCTCCTGGAGGTGGCTATGTGGAAGACAAATATCTTTAAGAACTGGTGTTTTTTTCTGGAGCACACTGTCACAGGAGGAAGAACATCTCCTGTCCTGACCACAGAGCAATGGTGAGGTCTTAGAACACAACCAGTATAGACTCCAGAGAAAGCCAGCTCAGTTGAGTGCTGGCTCTGCCACCAACAAGCTGTGTGACCTTCAGCCTTTTGTTCTTTTTACTTATAAGATGGGGATAAAACTACCACCCTTCCAGAGTTAGTGTTATTGACACTTTGTTTGTGTGTTCATCTCCTCCCTGGATTTGAAAATTACAATGTCAACTTCTTATTTTTGTATCCCAGCTCCTGCACAGTGCCTTGGTTTGAAATAAATGTTGCACAAATGAATGAAAGTATATGTTGCCTTAAAATTTAAGTGAGTTGAAGGTCTGGGTAGATCAGCTCCTCATCACAAGCTGTATCTAGAGACTACACTAATAAAATAGTGATCCACATTTCTACAAGGCCATGGAACAAAGGGTGGGAGTTCTGTCCACAAGAGACACTTGTTGCAGGGAGTGGTGTAACAGCAACTTAACAGCAGGGACTGATTTATAGCTGGTTCTGCCCCTTATGAGCTGGATAACCTTGGCCAACATACTACACCTTTCCAAGCATCAGCTTTTTCACCTGTAAAATGGGGCTAATCACACCCTCTTTGTGGTGGTGTTGGAAAGATTAAATCAGCCAACAAATACAAAGTGTGTAGAACAAAGCCACACAGTGAGATCTCAAATTGTGATGGTGATCTTGTTAGTGTCATTCAAGAACGTCCAAATGTCTAGCATTGCCCGGCACACAGGAAATGCCCAGTAAACAACAGCACTTATCTCAGTGATGCTTATCTGATCAGCAGGGGATTTATGATGTCACAAAACAATGAGTTATAAAGCTGGGACCTTGCATGCCACTGCTCAGCTTGTTCATGTGTGAGAAGTCAGGCATTTTACAGATAAGGAAATTGAGGTTCCTAGAAGCTATGTTACTAGTTCAAGTCTCTTAACACAGGCACATGGGAATCCATTGTGTGAAAGCAGAAGCAAGTGCACTGGAAGCCTGCTGGACAGCACCTTCCTCGGCTAGGGGTTAATGAAAGTAAAGGTGTAATATTTTTTCCATTCCAGTTTCGAGGACCCACTATTTTCTAACCAGGATTAAGTACCCCTATGTTGACGGGTTTCGGATTTATTCTCACGGCGCTAGGGAGTCACGGTCATAGCTATGCGTTGGACTCTGCTCCTCAGGTACCTCAGGGCGGGAAAATGTGCTGAAGACAGGAAAGGTGGATGAGAGAATCCGGAGGGAGGGTGGGGTGGGGGTGCCGCAGTCATCTCAAAAAGGTGGTGGCCTTCCCAGAGTGCGGCAGTAAGGATAGACAGAAGAAAGCAAAATGAAGAGACATTTTACGAGTCTCAGTTGCCTCCACTGGGCCAATGGAACCACCCTTCTGCTGTACCTGCCCTCGCTTTGAATCTGATCCCCACTCAGAGACTGGAGCGCTCCGAGGCGGTGGGGGAGGGGGAGCAAGTCCTGTCCCAGCGACACCCTCCACACCATACATCCATTCCAGGGGTGAAACCCATGTCCTTCGGACTGCCTCACCGAACACAGCCCCCTACCGGCTCTTGGTTTCTCTGCTCCTCGTGGGTGCTGCTCCAAGCCCCAGGCCGGCATCGCTGCCTCGCGGCATCGCGCCAACTCCTCCCCATCGCTGCTGCTGCTACTACTTTCCGAATCGCTCATGGCGCCGCTGGGCGCCGCCATCTTGGGCTACCGCAAAGGATTGTGGAGAACGCTTCCATTGCTGACCCTCCCACATGACCCACGTGAGCGTGACGAAGGTGCAGGACATTATGGGAATTGTAGTTCTTACATTGATGGCCGCTGGTCGTAAACCGTCCTGGAGGGCAGATGTAGTCCTCAAACGTGAGCGCTAGTAGGGTCTAAGAAATCAACTTCTCAAATCTCTGCCTCTTTTTTTTTTTTTTGATAAGGAAAGTAAAAACTACAGAGGGGAAGGGAATCGCACAAGGAGCTTGTGACAGAACCAGGATTAGTCCAGATTTTTTTTTTTAAAAGGAAAAACGAATTTGATCAAATTGGGATGGTGACATATAACCCACCTTGCTTAGTTCAGATTTTGATCTGATGTAGTTCACGCATTATTGATTTATTCAAGCAATTTCCAAAGTAAGCTGAAGGGGCCAGAAACACCTTAAGGAGCTTGTCCTCAAACTGTGGACTTTGGGGGTTTCACAAAAAAAAAAAAACCTTACTAAATAAGAATCTCTTATTAGATTGAAACCAGGTAATCTGTAGGTCTTCTAATAGCCTAGGGCCTCACTACTCAGTGTGTAGTCCATGAACCAGCGGCAAGTAACGCTTAGAAACTCAGAATGTTGGACTCCACCACAAACCTGAGGGATCAGAAAACCTGCATTGTAACCTGCTCTCCCTGTGATTTGTATGTGACGTGTGCGAGGCATGTCTTAAAGTCAGTCAGATGCACAGTTTAGCCTGTAACCCTACTGTTTGGCTGGTGGGCAGCCACCCCATGGTGATCAGGGACTCTGCTCACTTTCCACTCCATCCCCTCATTCCCTTCATGATTACTATGGCAACTCCTGCTGGCAGGCAATGGGTCCTGACCCATATTACCCCGAGCCCCTCCCCACCAAACCTCGACCTATCCCGATGTCCCATAATACCTTAAGCTCTTGACTTCACCCAGGATATAAAAACTGGGCTGCCATTTCTCCAGCGCGACTTCTCTGGCCCTGCTCTTTGGGGATGGTGAACCTCCCCTGAGAGCGCACTCTCAATAAAGCCTGCTTAAAGCCTGCTTGCTTTGTTGTTTGGCTTCAATTTGGCCTTCCCATCAGCGTCTACCTAACACCTACCACCATATGGAAACATTTAGGGAACTAAAAAAAAAAATACTGATTCCTAGGACTAACCCAAGAATGATAAATTAGAATCCTTGCAGCAGTGAAGGATAAAATGACTTTTACTTGTTATTATAGCTGGATCTGGAATGTACCCCCAAGGACTCATGTGTTAAAGGCTTTGTCCCCAGCTGGTGGTGCTATTGGGATGTGGGAATTTTAGGAGGTGGGCACTAGCTGGAAGGAGGTCACTGGAGGTGGGGGGGGGTAGGATGGGGAGAGCCATGCCCTTGAAGAGGATGTTGGCCAAGTGGTAGAGCGTCTGCCTAGCAAGTGTGAGGCACTGAGTACCCCAGTACTGCCAAAACAATACCAAAAACCAAAACCATTGCCATTTCCTCTCTTTGCTTTCCTGCCACCATAAGGTGAGCAGCTTGGGTCCAGCACATGCTGCCATCATGTTCTGCCTTGCCACAGGCCAAGAAATGACAGAGCCAAGTGTCCACCACTTGAAACCTCCAAAACCAAAAATAAACCTTTCCTCCTTTAGGTTGATTTTCTTAGGTGTTTTGTCACACAATGGAAAGCTGACTAATACATTTGTCTTTGGAATGCTTTATCTTTGAAGGTGAGTGTGTCAAATATCATTACAATAAACTCTGTGGCCTTGGGCATTTCTATTAAAAAAAAGAAGACTGATATGATCTGAACATTTGCACCTTCTCCAAATTCTTACGGTGAAATCCTAACCCCAAGATGATGGTTAGGAGGTAGGGCTTTTGGAAGATGATTAGGTCCTGGGGGCAGAGTCCTAATGAAGAGCATCATTGTCCTCATAAAAGATATATACTCTTCACCCCATCTACCGTATGGGTCCACAGTGAAAACCAGAAGGAGGCCCTCACCAGGAACCACATCTATCAGTACCAAGATCTTAAACTTTCCAGCTTTCAGAACCATAAGAAATACTTGCTATTTCTATTTAAAAGTCATTGAGTTTGTGGTATTTTGTTACAGCAACCCAAACAGACTAAGACAGTGGCTTATTAATTCCTTTTTTTTTTTTTTTTTTTTGTGGTGCTGGGGATCAAACCTAGGGCCTCATACATGCTACGCAAGTGTACTACCACTGAGATACGTCTCTGATCCTTTTTTTAACTCGGGCTTACACTTGCTAGGCAGGCACTCTACCACTTGAACCATGCTCCAAGTTCTTTTAAAAATCATTTCTTTGACCAGGTGGGCTGTACTGGGCATTACAAAGAATAAAAGTTCCATGCTGGCCTAACCTGTTTCTTCCTTGGAAAGGAGACACTGCTTCTGTTCCCGAAGGCTAACAGAGTGGGAAATATTCACAGTGCTATTGCTAAATCGCTCAGAGACTTTTGAGAACTGATTACAAAGTGCATTTGATATGCTGTAGTAAGTGTGTAGTCCAACAGAAAGCTGGACAAAGCGGGAGGACAAAAGGTAGCTTTTTATGGGTGGATTGGCATGTACTCAATCACGATATCCTTTGATAATAATGATGCTTTTTTTTTTTTAAGGTTTCTAGACTATTATATACTGTTTGTATATATGGGTTTCAGGAGTTAAGGGGAGTTTCTAACCCACCTCATGCTCAATCTCCCAGCCTTTGCCTCTTTTTGCCCCAGTTTCCCTGCAATTCTCAGAATTGAACTCAGGGATTTATTGCTTGTTAGGCAGGTGGCTCTATCACTTGAGCCACTCCACCAGCCATTATTTATTCATTTTTTTTTTTTTTTTGGCGGTACTGGGGTTTGAACTTGTGGCCTGGTACTTGTTAGGCAGGCGCTCTACCACTTATGGCACTCTGCCAGCCAGTCCTCAGAATTGAGGGCTCAAATGATTAGGCAATAACTATCAGGATAGCATTAGCACCTGAGGACCATCCAAATGAGAACAAAGGCTGTTTATTCAAACTTGCAAAGGAACCAGTTACCATCCTTGCCTTTGACCAAGGCAAATAGGGGAATGGTTAAGTTGATGGAGGGTTGGTATGGGGAAGCAGGAGGCGGGCCAACCAGAAGCAGGGATCTCTGTGATTGGTTTGGGGAGCCCATCTGGCTTCTTGTTGGTCAGGGTGGGGTGGGAATTTAGAGAGGCTGGCAGTTATTGACCAAGTCCTGACTGGATTTCCCGCTGTTTGTTGCAAAAGGTTGAAGTTTGCTTTCCTAGGTAGTTGCTTAAGAAGGTTATAGGTCAGAATTCTATTGTCACATGGAGTCTGGCCATTGTTCATTTGCATATTCAGTGTCCTACTGCTCCTTTTCTCTTACTGGCAGGGTAGGATAGATGGTGAAGGCCTGTGACTTCTCCAGCAGAGATCAGGAAGGAGTGGTGGACAAGCTGACCTCCTGGTGAGATGTCAGAAATGCAGAGAAACTTCCCAGAGGAAATTAGCTGCACGGAAATGGAGCCTCTTCCCCGCTCTTCTTGGAGAGGACGAGGGTGAAGCTGTCTTGGATGCCGTAGTATGCAAAGTCGAACCAGTCCTGCAGGACGTGACCCTTGAACTCCAGCTGCTGCTGCTGGCTGCGCAGCCCCTGCTGGTCTTCAATCTGCTGTTTCAGGCTCAGGATGGCGCGGAAGGGGTGGACCGCGTAGGCGTGGCTCTCTCCATTCGGGTTCTTCACGAAGACCTGGAACTCCGGGGAGACGGTGTCCAGCAGGCAGATGCGGGTGTCGCAGAAGATCCCGTAGGAGGCCAGAGAGCAGTGGCTGCTGAGGAGCTGCCGCTCGCCGCCCGGCTCCTGGAAGGACAGGCGCTGCAGGCCCGCGTAGCCCCGGCTCCGTCGGATTTTCTCTTTAACCTTCTTAACGGACTCATACGGATTCACCCAAAGGATCAAATCCGAGTGGCCCCATTGCTCCACTATCACCTGGATATCTGGCGCTGTCTGCAAGGGGAGGAGGGAGAGAGGTTAATTTCACATTTCTCTGACATGCACAAGTTCCATTCCTCATTGCGACAGAAACAAAAACAGCTTTTTTTTTTTTGCAACCGCAACAAAAACAGCAGCAGCAGAAGCAAATGTTTTAGGGAGTGTCAACCACTTTCCAGGACACCGCCCATACTCTGAATGCATGATTTTCTTCTAGAACGCAGCAACCCCTTGAGGTTGCTTTTCTGATTCTCCCATTTTACAGAGTGGGTGATCATGGCTGAGTGAGGTGATGCAATTCACTGAATGTCAGTCTGCACTTGGCTGGTGGGCCCCCCATTTGTAATCTGTACCTTATTGTGGAGTCTCTGTTTTTGCCTCTGCTCCCACTCAGTTGGCTTCCCATTCCTTCACATACCTTGCTACCTTACTTATTCTCACCTCCCATCTTTTGCTCGTTGGTCTCACCCCAAGTCTTAGCCTGGTGTGTCCTGTGTGCCGAGCATGTATATTACTCCCTGTTTTTTGGGGTTCACCTTGAGCCCTAGGCTCCTGCAAAGAATCTTGTCTGGTGACTCCAGATAACATTTATTTTGTTCCCAGAGCTCCACAAGAACCTAGCTGTGAATCTTGGCTTTATTGCCTCTCAGCAGTGTGATCTTGATGAATTGACTTAACCTCGCTGAGCCTCAGTTTCCTCATCTGTAAAATGGCAACAATAATAGTAATAATAATAACAAAGATAATGAAAACATTCAACCTTCTTGCTTTATAGAATTGCCTGTGAAGATCCACCAAGACAGTCTCTAGATTAGCACTTTGGGAATTGTAAAGAGCGGTATGAATAAAATAGATTACGATATTTGTCTGTGCCATAGGTTTGGCATTGCTTGGTCTTTTTCATTATTTGAGTACTTTGTCTTCTTTGATAATCTTTCCAGCAGTTTTGTGCACATTTGTTTAATGGACTTGCTTCCGGTGAATTCCTACTTTTGTAACCCCTGGCCATGTCCTACTTTTGTAACCCCTGGCGCCTCTCTCCCCCAACAATAAGCCTGACAGCTGAAGAGCTGACTTGGCCAGGCTTAGCTCATGCAATGAATGATCAAGAATTATGGAACTGTTTTTCCAGTAGGTTATGTGAAAAAGAAAGAAAAGGAAAAGAAGAATTTAAAGATAAGAAGCTGATACTCAGAAAGCTGAAGAATTTTTCCCAGTTCACAGAGCTGGTGGGTGGTGTGGCCGGGCCTCAAATTGCCTCTGAAATGTGGCTCTCCATCAGCACAGAAGCAGATGAGGTAGTATGCAGTCATCTCATTCTGAGATTCAAGTCCCCGACAGTCCTAGGAGGAGCCATTACCTTCACAGCCCAGCTGGGGACTGGGATGTCCTTGTTGTCATAGCAACAGCACTGTTTCAGGCACTGACTGGCCCTCTGAGCGACTATGTCCCATCTGTACCCTTCTGCCACGTTGTGAGTGGGGTCTGCCGGGTCCAGGATGATGGGCCTGCAACACAGGGAGAGTGTGCCCAGACTCCTTCCTGCTTGGAGGCTGCAAGCCAGGAAGATGCCTCTGAGCGACCTTCTATCCAAGCCATCTGTACGTCTGGAGCCCAGGGCTGTCGGTCCAGGAGGGCCCCGAAACATCACTGGAAAGCAAGAGGATGGAGACAATGAGATTTCCAAGAATTCTTCATGGGGAAGAGTATGTTGGGTATTTGCAAAGAATTTTGGGGATGGAGAGGGTGAAGCCTCAAGAGGCATCCTGGAGCAACAACAGATGCCCATGTGGACAGGTGCATCATCTTTCAAGGTCACTGTGGCCTGCACAAATTTGAGGCCACAGATGATAAATGAATGATGAAAGATGCTGCTGCTAAATGGCTTTGGATAACATTGACAACACCACCAACAACCCAGGGCAGGTTAATCTGTTTCAATTCTTACAACAATTTTATAAGGTAGGGACTATTTCTTTCTTTTTGTGTGTGTGTGTGAGGGTACTAGGGTTTAAACTCTACCACTTGAACAACTCCACCAGCCCTTTTTCTGTGTTGGGTATTTTTGAGATAAGGTCTTGTAAACTATTTGCCTGGGACTGGCTTTGAACTGTGATCCTTATCTCTGCCTCCTGAGTAGTTAGGATTATAGGTGTGAGCCACCGGACCTGGCCAACTATTATTACTATTGTTGTTGTACCCATTTTTCGGGTGAGGAAACTGATGTACAGGCCTTCATAAGTTCTCACAACCAGTTGCTGGGGTTCCTACCCATTCTAATTCCACAGCCTTAACAGAGAAGAAGTTGGCATGCCTCCAAAGTGTCTCTCCTTTAGATAAATGTTGAATGAATATTTTAAAGAATATTGGCTTCAGTGGAGTCTAATAGCCTGCTTGGGTCCCCTGGGATAATGGTGGCCTATGGGTAAGAGCTAGCATTTGCACTCCTGAAGTTTTTGACTTAGTAGCTGGACTTGTGAATGTGACAGAAGGGGAGAGTGGCTACTGGAGCAAACTGGTTAGTTTGGGCTCTATGCCTGCTACTCCCAGCATCCCTTGCTCCCTGAAGCAGTTCTGCCTGAAATGGTCAGGGAACAGCTCAAGTTGTTGCATGGGGCTTATGAACCTGATGCAGAGTATCTCATTCTGTCAGTTGGCAGGTGACTCAGCAGGTGACCTACCATGCAGGACCTGTGTCCACTGATAAGACTGATTTCCTCTGGGGAGGAAATGGGGAGCAGGGCAGGTTGGAAAGATGAGCAGAGGCAATCGGGAGAAGAGGCGAGGGGGGGAGGGGAGAAAGAGAGAGAGAGAGAGAGAGAGACAGAGAGGGAGAGAGAGAGACTTTGTCCATTGAAGATATTTTCTAACTGCAACTTTCTGGGCATCCTTATAATAAATCATCTCTTTATCAGGGATCTGATTTTTCTTCCTTGCAAAAAAAGACCCAATGGACATAATGGAACACCAAAAATTCCAACAGAAAACTTCTAATGAAGAGTTGTCTAGGCTGGATTTCCCAGAAACAGATCTCTAGATAGGAGATCTCAGGAACACTAACAAGAGGCAGGGAAGGGAAAGAAGCCAATAAGGGGGAGTATCAAGAGTCATTACTCCTGGGCATAAGTGGAGGTCAGTTTCACTGGAGAACTCTGGGAAATGGAGTGGAAGATGGAACCCAGAGCCCTTTCCTGTGAGGTAAGAGAGAGCTGGGGTACTTATCATTGAATCCCACCCAGGAGTGGGTCTGCTGGTGAGGGGAACCTACAGGCAAAGGGAGGTAGTGCTGGCAGATGGAAGTTGAGCCAGTTTTCACTGGAATAGCCAAGGCCAAGGGCATATGAGTAGGGCACTGATGGCCTATGCTACAATCATGAGCATTTATGTAGCATCTACTGTACACAGATGCTGTGAACCCTTATCATTTCCTGTGGGTCACATATTTTCTGTTACCTTACAGCAGTTTTGCGCTGTAGGTACCGGCTTACTCCTGACTTACACATGGGAACCGAGACTCATGGCAATGAGAAAAGACAGAGCGGAGATTTAAATTTGAGCCTCCAAGATTCCTCCCACTTTCTCACATTCTCTCTAAAAGGCACTGAAATGGTTTTTTAAGAGCTAAGGGAGGGAAGAGGGGTGGCTTCAGGTACATGGAAAAGTCTTGTAGCCTCTAAAGCCTCCCTCCCCTTGAATTTGATAGGCTACGAATTTGAGATATTGTCCACTTGAGATTTCAATGTCAACCTCCATTTCAGCCTTACTGTGTACTATTAAAGTCAATCATACAACCCTATATCATGTTTTCCCCAATTCTTTCTTTTTTCCTGTGAGACTTGGTGGGCAAGCAGTGGCCTAGTACCTCTGTTTTTTGAACTGCTTTCTGACAAAGTCCTTGATGACTGGGTTCTGGAGTGTGTAGTACTTGGTCCAGTAGATACAAATGAGTTCATATTCCTGGAGCAATTCCATCACAGTGGTGAGGCCTTCATCCAAGTGGAAGTTGTTATCCTCCTGGGTACCCACTTCCCAGGCATAGGTGGTCAGCAGTTCAAGGGCATAGAGAGGGGGCAGGTTAGCTCTGGGACACTTGGCTTTCACATACTGTTGAAAGAAATGGGAAGAGAGAGAAACCCCAAGATTATATGTAAGGATGGCATTGGGTCAGAGGTTAGAAAATCTACACTCTAGTCCCAGTTATTCTGTGTACTGGCTGTGTGTCTTTGGCCAAGTCACTTTTCCTCTCTAGACCTTGTTTCCCCATTTTAGAATTTAAGGGGCTGGGACCCAGGCATGGTGGCACATACCTGTAATGTCTTGGGTTGCAACTTTGGGAGGTGGAGGCAGGAAGATCACAAGTTCAAGACCAAAATGGGCTACAGAGTGAAACCGTGTCTCAAAATAAAACGAAACCCAAGAAAATTCCCACCAAAACTGGCAGCGAGGATTGGGTTAGTCCAGTAGGCTTTAAATTGTGCTTGAATTCAAACTTAGGGCAATGCAATTAATTTTTTAGTGCAGATTTTTCATTCTTAAAATTTAGACAATAGATTAAATACTGTAATCATTACGATGTCTTAATCTTAGGAAAAATGAGCTTATTATACCAGATGCAGTAGTGTGTGTCTGTAGTCCCAGTTCCTTGGGAGGCAAAGGTGGGAGCACTGCTTGAGTCTAGGAGTTTCAGGCCAGCCTGAGCAACACAGTAAGACCCCATCTCAAAAAAAAAAAAAAAAAAAAAAAAAAAAGGAAAAACCCTTCATTTTCTTTTGGGATCTTTGATAGATTATTTAATGGGAAAAATAATCCAGAAAGATCTATATTCTCCCAGGGCTGATGGTGAAAGATGCTGTGTTAGTCAGCCTTCTGTCACTGTAAAAAAACCAAAAAACAAAAAACAAAAAAAATTTGAGATAATCAAATTTTAAAGAGAAAAGTTTTATTTTGGCTCATAGTCTTGGAGGGTTCAGTCCATGGTCAGTTGGCCCCATTGCTTTTGGGTTGTGGAAAGGCAGCACATCCTGATGACACCATATGGCAAAACCACTCATCTGATGGCCAGGTCACAGAAGAGAGGAAGAGGAAGTGGCTGGAGTCCTTCTGTTCTCTGCAAGGGCATGCAGTGACACAAAGACCTCTCACTAAGCTCCACCTCTTAAAGGTCCCACCACCTCCTAATAGCACCAAGCCTGCAACACCTGGGCATCCGGGGGACACTTAAGTACAAACTATAAAGGATGCTATGCTTTCTCCATATTTTGGGTATAGCTGACTTTTTTTTGTTTTGGCAATACTGGGTTTGAATTCAGGGCACTCTGCCAGCTCTAGATGTCTGATTTTTATAATATTGCTCTTTCTAGATAATGGTAACCATGAGAGAAAACTGCTATTTTTCCACTGTGAACAGACTAAGTATAAACCTAATTGTCTTGACAATTGTTTTTTCTTTCAGTCTCTATTACACATTTTATTGGGTTAAGTCTTCTGCAGTCTGATTCCCTTGCAACTTCTCTGCAAGTTCTTACTTAATAAATGAGTTTTTGTCTGACTTTATTTTTGCAGTTGAACGTTCCCCTGAGATTTTCCTGTTTTGTTTCCAAAACTGACAAACCTGTGTTGCCTGAGAAACATACCTCATGGGTGTTCTCACTCAGACACGCCCCCATTTAAACTGCTAGGGTGAATCTTGTGTGGCAAAGCTTTTATTCTTTCTGACTTTATTTCTCTCTTCCCTACTCCTTCTGACTCTCTTTTTCTCCCCCTTCCCTCTTCTTCCCTCCCCTTCCTTCTTTCCTTCTTCCCTCCCTCCCTCCCTCCCCTTCCCTCCCACCTTCTCTCTCTCTCTCTCTCTCTCTCTCTCTCTCTCTCTCTCTCTCTTTCTCTCTCTCTCTCTTTCTCTCTCTCTCTCTTTCTCTCTCTCTCTCTTTTGAGGCAGGGTCTCCCTATGTTGCTAGGCTAGCCTAGAACTCCTGGGCTCAAATCCTCCTGCCACACGCAGGCATTTTATTATTTCTGATTCTGATTTTTGTTTTATGTGTATGGGTCACTTAGGTTTCTGCTAGTAAAAATAATCTGTGGTTATGGTTTTAGGTTTTAACCACCTGATGGTTTCGACTAGGAGGCAGATGATGGTAATTTAGTCCCTGGGAGATGGAGATTGAGGGGAATTTGACAGTATTTTGTCCTTTTTTTGTAGTTACTGGGGTTTGAATTCAGAGCCTTGTGCTTGCTAGGCAGGTGCTTTCTCTCCTGAGCTAGGCTGCCAGCCCTTTTTTGCTTTGGTTATTTTTGCAATAGGGTTTTCTGCTTATGTCCAGGTCAGCCTGGACTGAGCTCTTCCAATTTAAGTTTCCTGAGTTGCAGGAATGACAAGCCTGCACTGTACCCAGCATTTTATTGTTTGAGATGGGGTCTCACTAACTGTTTTCCCAGGCTGGCCTTAAATGTGGATCCTTTTGATCTCACCTCTTGAGTAGCTAGGATTATAGATGTGAGCCATGTGCCTGGCTTATTTTGATCTTTTCTCTCTTTCTCTTTTAGTCTGCTTGGTTTGGGAATTCTAATATCTCTGGGAAGCCTCACTATTATTGTTTTGTATGCTATTATGGATTGAAACAGAAGTGTGTGTGTGTGTGTGTGTGTGTGTGTGTGTGTGTATAAGTGTGGAAAACAGTTCTATAAGATTAGGGGCTGACTGGTGGATTTGCTGCTCCATTTATTTTTGATTCATAATTAAAGTTGTAAAACCAAAGCTATTAGTTCTTTTTGCTTTTGTGTATATAAATGAAAAAAACTTACAAAAGAATGGTCTGATTGCCATATAATCTATCTGTGGGTGACCTCCTTCTCCTTGCTCCACCATAGGAAATTCATGGAGTGTAATTAATTGGAAGAAAATTTGGGGTAAACACTGATCTTACCACCAAATGAGACTGAGTCAGAATCTTACCAGACTCTTTTTTTTTTCAAAGCAGGTGGTTTCATGGAAGTAGATTGTTTAACCAAAGATTAATAAACTAAGAATTAATTACAAGGTTAATGTTCTATTTTTGGAGGACATAAGAGAAAAAAACCCTTCCTTCTTAACTATGTTTTATCTTTAGTGTAAAACTACTTGTGTAAACTGAGATTAAATATTCTTTAAATGATATTCTGACAACTCAGAAATAAAAAAAGTCCCATGATACATTATTAACTAATGAACCATCAGCCAAACAAAACTATTGTTTTATAAAACAATAGCCAATTTATAATTGGCCTTGCTAACAAAACTGCTCAGAATGATGATTAAATAGTCACAAAGAGTCTTTATTAAGTTGCTCTACTTTTAATGACTATGTAGCATTCACGTTAGTTGAATAAAAATTTGTCCTTTTTCTTCCAGGATAGAACTAGATAAATTAAATTCATATTCATACCATAAATCTCATTTAGTTAGGTATGATAAACTCACTATTAAGAATCAAGAACAGGCCCAGGATGTAGCTCTATGATAGAGTGCTTGTCTAGAATGTGTGAGGCCCTGGGTTCAATCCTCAGCACCAAAAAAGAAACTACTAAAAAAAAAAAAAGAACCAAGAACAAAATAATCCAGACATAAAATTGTACAAATACTGTACAATTCCATTTATATGAGCTACCTAGAATAGGCAAATTCATAAAGACAGAAAAGAGGAGGAGTGGTTACCAGGGGCTGGAGGAAGGGAGTGGGGAGCTAGTGTTTAATGGGTTCAGGGTTTTGTTGGGATGATGGAAAAGTTCTGGAATTGGGCAATGGTGATAGTTACAGAACAGTGTGGATGTAACAAATACCACTGAGTTGTACATCTAAAATAATAATAATAAAAAAATCAAAACCAACCAACCAACCAACTAACCAAGCCAAAACCTTTTCTATGTCAAAACCACAGCCAAAGCTGGGTGCTGGTGGCTCACACCTGTAATCCTAGCTACTCAGAAGGTAGAGATCAGAAGGATCACAGTTCAAAGCCAGCTGGGGCAAACAGTACGTGAGACCCTATCTTGAAAAAAAAAAAATCACAAAAAGGGCTGGTGGAGTGGCTCAAGGTGTAGGCCCTGAGTTCAAACCCAGTACAACAAAACAAAACAAAACAAAACAAAACAAAGCAAAACAAAACTCAAAAGCAGCCAAAAACTCTGGGCGAAAGTTCCATTCCGTTTCTAGAACTGTTTCATTCTGTTTTGAGATTGATATATATTTCTATCTTTGTCTATCTATCTGTTGATCTTATTGTCAATCTTCCATAGAAATGTTCCAAGTCCAGGGGTTCAACCAACCCTGGATTGAAATCTTTGGACAAAAAAATTGTGTCTGTACTGAACATGTACAGATTATTTCTTATCATGATTCTCTAAACAGCACAGTGTAACAACTACTGACCGTATTTACATTGTATTAGGTGTTAGAAGTAATGTAGATATGATTTAAAGTATACAGGAGGATGTGCATAGGTTCAATGCAATTATTATGCCACTGTATACAAGGACATGAGCATCTTTGGAATCTGGTATCTGAAGGATATTTGGCATATCTTTACATTTATGATCACACAGACGAGCTGGTTTTGTTGGCTCACACCTGTCATCCCATCTACTTGGGAGGCATAGGTAGGAGGACTGTGGTCTGAGGCTGGCCAGGGGCAAAAGCTAGAGACACTACCTGAAAATTACAGGAAGCAAAAAGACCTGGAGGAAAGGCTTAAGTGGTAGAGTGCCAGCAAGTGTGAGACCTTGAGTTCAAACCCCAGTCACACCAAAAGAAAAAAAAAAAAAGAAAGATTCCACAGATGAAACTGAGAGGAGGTAAGCTACACATTCCTTGGTCCATGAATCTAGTAGATGGACCAATAAGAACACTGAAAAGTAATTACAACTTCAAGGAGTTTACAAAGCTTTCAAAAAAAGTGAATTATTAATATTTTTAGACTCACAGAACTCTAGTCTTATTTTCCATACAATACGAGATCTTTGCATTCTTATGTATTGATCAATGTATGTTGTACCACTCAGGTAAGCAGAACTATCAAATAAAACAAAACTTGAAGTTAACAATAATGAATTAAAAAATGGCTCTTTAGGCCCAGACACTAGAACAAAAGGGAGAACTAGGGAAGTAAAACCGGTATATTGTTCTGTGGGCATCACAAATCATTGTGCATATCATAGGCAGGAATTAAAACGCTGTATCCTGGGACAAATGAACGAACAATAAAAATCATTCTGTTTAGTTGTAGTTCTCTGAATACACAAATCCTCGAATGTTTCCTGTAAGTTATTGAAAACTCCATTTTGTCCTTGGCTTTGGTAAAACAAATGTCTGAAAATATGTCAACAGTTGACAGGATAAGCATGGTAGAAAATTGCTGTTTTCCCACCATGAACTGCAAATGTACTAACCTTGGTCATTTTATGATTTTTAAATTATTTCTTTAAATATCTTTTAAAAACTGAGTTAATCTTTCTGAAATGTCTATTACCACTTTTTACTTTGAGACAGGGTCTTGCTATGTATCCCAGGCTGGCCTTGAAGTTGAAATTCTCCTGTCTCAGCCTCCTGAGTGCTGGGATTACAGATGTGTACCACTCTGCCTGGCCACTGTTAACCACTTTTTTGAAATCTCCCTGGTTGTGTGCAGATATCACGTGTGAAATCTGAAAAGTATCAGCATGCATATGTTCGTTCACTAAGCCATGACCATGGTACACACGAGTCCTATTGTTCAGAGGGGGATTGGTGTGGGTAGAATAAAAAGAAGTCCTGAACTTGTGTGTGATTAATGTCCAAATATGCAATGGACTTGACATTAGGCAATCCTAGACAGTAACCGGAGCGTCACGAGCACGGGATTCCTGAAATGCTGCATGTTACCTATTTTTCTCTTTCCTTCCCTGTTTCTGTTCCCTAGCCTCTCCTTCTCCTTTTCCTTTTCCATTACAAAAATTTTTTTTGTGGTTCCAGAGCTTGAATTTAGGGCCTACTCCCTGAGCTACACCACCAGCACTTTTTTGTGTAGGTTTTTATTGAGATAGGGTCTCACAGAACTATTTGCCCGGGCTGGCCTCGAACCTTATTCCTCTTGTTCTCTGCCTCCTGAGTGCTAGATTACAGACATGAGCCACTGGCACTGGCTTCTTTTCCATTTTTTAAATTGAATGTTTCAAAAGATTGAATGTTCAAACACTAAAATTCTAGTATTCTCTCCCTCTTTCTCCCACCTTCCATTCCCCCTTCTCCCTCTCCCTTTTTTTTTTTTTTTTTTTTTTAGTATTACTGAGGTTTGAACTCATGGCCTTGAGCTTGCTAGACAGGCACTTTATCACGAGCACTGCCCCCCCTCCACCTGCAGCCTTTTTTCCTTGTATAGTTATTTTCAGATTGCGTTTTGTTTTTATGCTCTTGGCCAGCCTTGGACCATGACCCTCCTATTTAATGCATTCAGCATAGCTGGAGTTACACACATGCATCACTAGGCCCATCTTGTTTGTTGAGATGGGGGTCTCACGTTTTGCCTATGCTGTGATCCTCCTGATGACTGCCTCCCAAGTCGCTGGGAGTACAGGTATGAGCCACTGCTTCTGGTTCCATTTCCCCTTGATGCAGTTTCCTGGGATAAAATCTGAAATCTGGTCCTGGCCTTTTCTCCTTCATTTCCCCTTCCGGCCCCGTCCTGGCAGCCCCCTTACCTGCTGGTACCAATGTTTTACCAGCCGTAGGAGGCTCTTCAGCTTAGTTGGCCGACGTTTCACAAAGTTTCTCTGTAGCTCGCTGAAGGAGGGAGAGAAATTTCCAGCATACCCACGGGCCTTGATCAGATCCTCGTAGACCTCAGGGGGTGGCTGAGAGTTGGTAACTGAAGGCCCTGGGGACGGAGGAAGCAAAGACAGATTGAGGGCTGAGTAGTCATTGGAGGGGGGACCTGTTTATACCCTAGAATAGGAGATTTCATATCCTAATAACCCAAGGTTTTGCCTTGCTTTATTGTCCCTTTTGTGAGAGTCTTACTCTGAAGGGTTAGCCTTGGGCTTTCCATGCCTCAGGTCACTCTAAGTCTGTCCTCCCTGGATGTCCCCAACACTCCCTCCAGTTTTAGATTTCTTTCTGGGGATTCATTGGAATCTCTCCAAATTCCTAGGAGAGACCTGACTCCAGGGCACACACCATTTTCTTGCTTGCTGAGTCCAGAATCCCTTTGCTAACACATTTCCCAAAGAACAACTCCAGGCAGCCACTACAATTGCTTGGAGCTGACACATAAGAAACCTGTCATGATTTGGATCTTAAATGTCCTCCAATGGCCCACGGTACTAAAAGCTTAGTCACCAGCCTGTGGTGCTGTTGGAGGTGGTGGACTTTAAGAGGCTGGAAACTTTCCTTTTTTTAGCATTGATTATCTCAGGTTTTTTTCTTTTTTTTGTCACAGTGATGGAAAGCTGCCTGACACAAGGCCTCTAACATCTTGACTTGTAGCAGACACTGTTTATTTTAAATATCTAGGACTTTCTGCATGAGGCTGAGCCATAAGTGCCAGGGACTCAGTGTTCCAGGAAGCAGCCTCAGCTAATGACTGATGGGAAGTTGGTGGATAAACACCCCAGTGTAATGGGATAATAGGAAATATGCTCATTATAACTACTTTGAGTTCTGCAGGCTCATGCAGCCAGTCACTGAGCTAGTCATCCCTTGCTCAGTAACACATCTTGTGTTGGCCTCCTCCTTTTCATGTATTAATTCCTTGCTTCCCTCCCAGTGTTGGATCATCTCCCTGACAAACCGCTGGTTCTCGAATCCTCATCACAGGGTCTGCTTCTGGGAAAAGTCAAACAGCGACAGACCCCTGTACTCAGAGTGATTGCTATTTAGTAAGAAGTACTCAAGGTTACCATTTTAGCTCCTTTCCCTTATTGGGTCTCAGATCTCCCAGAATATTCTCTCCATAGAAAGTTCCAGAACTTTCCAGATGCTGCATTCTGTCCCCCTGAGCACTGACCACCATTTGCTATTTCTTTATCTGAGGGTTTCTTTGATAAGTTTCTGCCTCCCAAGTTTCCTAATGTGACAGTCAGAGGGTGTTAGTCCTGGGTGCACAGTAGCAGCTCAGTCCCCAGCACAGGACCTGGGCAGAATGACGAGTGTGGTGACTCCACGTGTCCATGACAGGTGAGGGGGCTGCAAGTCTCCTAGGGAGGGCAGGTGTGAGTCACAGGCTTCTGTTCCCCTTACCCAGAGCCCTGTAGGCAGGCACGATGGTGACATTGATGGGCTCCCAGGTCCCCCTGGTCTGGATGGTGAGGATGAAAGCGTTGGGTACTTCTTCTGCCACCCTCAGGTCACTGAGCCCAAGGGCCAGCAGGTCCTGGCAACGCCATACATTTTTCCACATCAGTCTCAGAATGGCTTGGTGGTACTTGGCTTCTTCCTGGAAGCTATGAAAGCAGCTCAAAAACACCACGAGCTCCACGTCCGTGATATTCCTGAGCACTGTGCCGTTCCCGAAGGAGCCCACCTGCAGAAGACAGAGCCCTGTCACCCTGAGCCCCTCTGAGTACCAGCAGCCATGGCACCTCACACGAAATATTCCATTTAATGCACACCACCACCCTGAAGGTCCGGTGGGTAGTGCTAATATCCCCACTTTACAGGTGGGGAAACTGAGATGTCTGGAGGTTAAGTTACTTGCTTGGAGTCACTCAGTTTGCAGCCTGACTCCTGAACCCAGGCTTTTTTCTTTGTGTTTGAGACAAACGAAAGTATTGAAGGTTTTTTGGGCATCTGAATAATTTCATCACATTAGAAAGCAGGGAGTAGGTTTTTCTGGTAGCTAAGGAGTGTGGGCTACAAAAGAATGATTTGACTTTGACCATGACCTTTATTTATTTTTCTCATTGTTCAGGATGGATCCCAGAGACTCTGCCATGTTAGGTAAACACTCGACCACTGATTGTATGCCCAACCCTGACCTTGACTCTTGCCTCTGTTTTTATAGCTGTGAGATCATTCGAAGCCACAAGTCCTCTCCGTATAAAATGAAAATAATGACAGCATGTGACTCATTAGATTTCTAGGATGTTTGAATAAAATCCTGTATGCCAAGGGCTTCCTATGTGCCTGGCACACAGGAAATCAGCAATATATTCATCTTTTTCCTTTTTATCTAGTTGGCTCAGACAGTCCCTTTGACTGCCTGTGCATGTCTCCCCATCTGTAATGACAGAAGACTGAGCTGGATGTCCCGATTCTACACTTGTTCTGTCTCTGGTATAAAAAACCCCACTCCTCTCTTGCTCCCTTATTTCTTACTCCAGGTAGGGAAGGATCAGACTCCAGGTGGGCTACCTTTCCTGGTGGGTAGAGTCCCAGGGCAAGAAGCATGATCCAGGTGTCATAGGTTGATCACACCCTACATCTGGCGCCACTGAAAGTCTTTCATGCGTATGATCTAATCACCAGTGGAAGTGGTAACACAATTCTTCCCAATGTACAGATAAGCACACTGAGCCAGTGGGTGGGGTCAATCACCTTGCGTGATTTCCCATTCAGCCAGGGAGTCAGAACACACGCAGTGGGTGGTTCTTCCCTGGGACCTACATCTATGAGTTGTGCTCTGTTCTAAGGAGGGTCATCTCCCTTCCCCTTTCCTTTTTTTATTCTCTTTTCACTGACTTCAGACTCAGCATTCCTACCCCATGTGACAGTCATGTTTAGACTGCTCCTTTGGTCTTTCCCAGCAAGGAAAGAACCATCCAGAACAGGCTTCATGACTTGCTTTGCTTTGAATTATAAGCCCAAGTCATTAGCCAATAAGCATTCATTCATATGAGCAGCTTAGCTCACCAGAGTTTCAGGGGTTGAGAAGAAAGACGAGGTTGGAGTCTAAATAAAATATTCTTTCTCACTGGTCTTTGCTTTTTGAGTAAGTCTATCTTTTAGTGGCTTGAAGGGGAGGAGTGGTTATGGTCTGTAGGAAGAATTTGAGGCTTGGTTAAATAGCATTTCCAGCCATCAAAACTCATTCTGTTTGTAGTGTCCTTCTCTCCCCAGACTTCTCCAATTCCATCCACTTCTTTCTCAGGATTGTTGGGGAGGGAGTGGTGGGGGTGTAGGGGGGCTGCCCAAGTCAGGCTGCTCTCCTGGGCTCAAGAGAAATCTTGAGCAAAAATTACAATGATCCGTTTGTCTTTCAGCATTCATCCTGCGCTAAGCATTTAGTGTGCATTGCTTGATGAAGGAGAGATGATGGTGATTATAATGATGTCACAATTGCAGATGAGAAGACCAGGTTAGAGAGATTAGATGGTATAGTCAAGGTCACACAGCTGGCAAGAGGAAAAAACCAAGAGTGAAACCCACGTCTGTCTGATGTAAGTATTTGTGGTTTTGTACTTCTAAATCATATAGCCTCAGGCTCCAGATGCCCGGAATGGGTGCAAAGAAGGTATAAAGGCTTGAGTCTGTGAAAGCCATCCCTGGGTGAGAGAGAGAGAGAGAGAGAGAGAGAGAGAGAGAGAGAGCGCGCACTAGAGCCCTGTGCTGGGAGTTGTGAGTCCTAATTATAATCTTGCTTTCTACCAATTTGCTCTGTGACCTTGGGACATCTTTTACCCTCCTTTTTTGTCAATTTCCTTAATTAGTAACTGAAAGATTGGCTGAAACTGTCTGATTTTCCAGGGTCTTTTGAGCTCTGATCCTCTTGAATTTCGATGCTAGTTAGCACAGGGGTGGTAAGGGGCAGTGGAGACAGGCTTAGGGAGAAATATTGGTGAGGGAGCCTGGATCCCTGACTATATAAAGTCATAATTTAAATTCTAGCTCCAACCTGAGCTATGTGACCTTGGGTAAGCCACGTCACCTCTCTGAGTCTCCTGTATAAAATCACTTTATTATCAAAAAATTAAAACAAAATACAAAGAACACTCACATATCCAACCAGTCAGATTCAACATGTCTAAACTTGCCACTTTTGCTTCGTCTAAACTACTTTAAGTGAATTAGAGAAAGTGAGGAAGTTTATCCTTAAATATTTTAGCATTTGTGCCCTCAAAAGAGAATGTTCTCTTGTTACCACAAAACTACTCTTATATTTAACAAAATCAACAGCAATTCCCTCATGTGATCTAATATCCAGGCCATATTAAAATTTCCCCAGATTGTCCCCCAACTGTATTTTACAGATGGTACAACAGGATTCGATCAAAGATCTTGCACTGCATTTGGTTGATAAGAATCTTAAGCTTCTGAGCCTTCACTGGGCTCATCTGTAAAATGGGAAAAGAATCGCATCTACCTCACAGAGTATGGAATTAGAGATAACATAATGTTAGGGGATTAGGCTATAGCACCCCAAAATGTGATCTGTTATTAGCTTCCTTACTGGTTCGTTATGCTGGAGGCAGCGGTACAGTGGGGTGTAGTTGGTTGCGGTGTCCTGAGGTGTTAGTAGTGGGGCAAGGGATATATAATAAGATCAAGGGTCCCCAGCATCCTTAGGGAACGTGGACTTTCATGCTGGGTGTTGCCCTGCCTGGATGGGGACAGAGAGGCCCAGTCTCACCTTGACCACCTTCAGCACCTGCACCTCCTGGCCCAGGACCTGCTCTCCCTGGAAGCATTCCTGTCTCAGGAACCGCTCTACAGCCCGCACGGCCTCCAGCACCTCTTCCTTCCATTCCCGGCTGGGCTGCAGCCACTGAGTCACGAAGGAGTCCAGCTTGGAGGCTGGGACGCCATACAGATCCTGGGCTAGTGCCATCTCTGTGCTGAGAGCGCCACAGCTGGATGGATATATATAGCCAGAGGCTTATGCAGTTCCTGGCACACACCTCCCCCCTTTTTAAGGAGGCTCTTTTCCAGTTGAGCTCCAGCCCCCAGTGGGATAAAGGACCAGAACAGAGGAATTCGGGGGGTGAATTGGCTAACTGGGCTCCCCTTCTTGGTGATCCTTTGCTGTGACAGGTGTGCTCAGGGACACAGGGCTGAGGTTGGCAGGTCTGGGGCCACCTTAACAGGGCTGGCATCCAGCCAACCTTTGTGCCATAGGTTTCGATTCTCAACTTTTAGAGTTTCCTTTTAGTGACGTTTGGAAACTGAAATTGGCCGGAGTTTGACCTTACCCGGGACATTGCACGCAGATCATTCTGTCCATCTTTTCCCACTTGTTATGGGGAAGTTGAGGCTCAGAAACCGAAAGTACTTGCTCACGGCTGGAGTAAGGAGAGAGACTTCAGGAGTCCACAAAACAGGCTTTGCCAGATTCTGACCCCCCCTTCCATATTCATAATAACACCCATCCCATAAATTCTCTGTGCTGATAAAACACGACAACACTGAGCAGAGAAAGCAGACTTCTCATTCATTCACTGAATATTTATTGAGTGACTGCTGGATATCAGACAAAATAAGATGAACTTTCTGCCCCAAAGGACAGGAATGGGACAGACAACTGATGCTGGGAACTCAGTGTGATTTGTGCTTAGTCACACAAAAGTCATGGATGCCTGGAGGGAAGTTAAGCAGAAGAATTTCTCTTGGGTGACTGGAGGTGTGAGCAGACACCTATTTGAGATGAGTCTTTTAAAAAATAGTTTTGTTGTATTTTTAAATTAGTGTACATTAATAATATGAGGGGGTCTCATTGTGTAATTCCATACATGAGAACAATGTACTTTGAGCATGTTCACTCTGACCCTTTCCCCTTCTCCTTTTCCCTTTCCAAACAGTGTTTGGTGGGTTTTCATTTTGCTGCCTGCGAATATATATACGTAAGTGTACTTTGATCCTCCTCACCCCTCAGTATCCTTTTCTTTCCCCTTTCCCCTCCCATTTGTCCCCCTGGACTTTCCTTTCACATCCATGTTCCATCATTATCACCATCACTAATGCGTCACAAAGACTAAGAATTGACCAGGAAGAAGAGGACATGGCACAGGTAGAGACTGAGAAGCAGGAACGGTCCCAGCACCGGGACTCCGGTGAATCTGACTTGGCAGGGAGGGTGGAGAGGGGAGAGGTGAGAGACGCCCCCAGATAGGAGGGCAGGAGTTGTGTCTTGGAGTGCCACTTTCTCTCATTCGCTCATCTATGAACGAGTTTTTCATCCATGAACGAGTTTTTCATCCAACAAATACTTATTGAGAACCTACTATGTGCTAGACAAGTGCTGGGATATAGCAGTGAATAGACAAAACCCCTGCCTGCAGAGAGCTTATGTTCTGGTGATGGAGACAGACAATAAACCAGGACAAGTGGTAAACTTACAATAAATAAAATGGAGGAAAATAAAGTAGATGGAGTTAATAAGTAGGTTGTGTGTGTGTGTTAGGGAAGGCTAACTACCTTATAGAAGGAGATGCACACATACATACTTTTTTTGATGGTACTGAGGCTTGAACTCAGGGCCTCATGCTTGCTTGAAGACACTCTACCACTTGAGCCATGCCTCCAGCCTGAAGGAGACATTTGAACAAAGACAGGAAGAGGTGCAGCATGATCCAATGTGTAACAGAGAGAAGAGGATTCTTCATGGCAGAATGAGTGGCAAGTGCAAAGGTCCTATGGCAGTTTGAGGGACATCAGTGTGCCCGGAATGGAATGAGCAGATGGGAAGTTGGAAAGGGATGAGATTGAAGTAAAGGGTGGCAAGGCAAATGGTATAGAATCTTGAAGACTGATGTCATGTGTTTATTTTTTTTTGGCACTACTGGAGTTTGAACTCAGGGCTTTATGCTTGCAAGGCAGGTGCTCTATTGTTTGAGTCATACCTCCAGCCCAAGATTGATAATAAGACTTTGGCTTTATTCCAGTATTTCCATACATGCAAATAATATACTTTGATCAAATTCACTCTTCTATTACTCTTCATGATCACCCTCCCCCTTAGGAACAATTAGAATGGGTTTCATGATTATATTTTCATACATGCGTATGAAGTACTTCCAACGGTTCACTCCCGCCTCGACTTTCACTTTAATAGGAGCAGTCACACAGGCTGTTGGGGAAAAATTAGATTAAAAGCAGAGGTGGGAGTGAAGGTGAGAGGGGAATCAGGAGTTCAGTCAAGAAGCTACTGCAAGCCGGGCGCTATAGCTCACACCTGTAATCCTAGCTACTCAGGAGGCAGAGATCAGGAGGATTATGGTTTGAAACCAGCCCAGGCAAATAGTTTGCGAGACCCTATCTTGAAAAAAACCAACACAAAAAAAGGGCTGGTGGAGTGGCTCAAGATGTAGGCCTTGAGTTCAAGTTCCAATACTACACACACGCACAAAGCTATTGCAACAGTAGACGAGAGAGATGGTGACTTGGAGCAGAAAGTAGACTTGAAGGTAGGACGAGTAGGATGATTTAGCACAAAGCTGAAATAATATAATGATGTCCATATACCATTAATCAGCTTTGACAATTTTCAACCTATAGATAATCTTCTTTAAATTATACCCCCATCCATAATCCATATCTTCCCTTTGAATTATTTGGAAGGAAATCCCAAACATATCATTTCACTGGGTATGTTTTGACTATAAGGCTGACAGTTCTTGGTAATAATTAGAGAGTATAGTTTGAGACCAAGATCAAAGGCAACACATATTGTGAAGGTCTGGGCTTCAGCAATGGAAGGACAGAATTGCCCTTAAAGAAGGGAAAAGGCCAGAGGAAGGCCTTCAGTGTGGGCCTGAAGTGAAGGACTGTGTTTTGGAACTGAAGTGAGGTGTCTAAGATTCAGGTGGAATGTGGAGCAGGGAGTTAGAGCTATGTCTAGAGCTATGTCTAGATTTCAGAGGAGAGGTTTGAACTTGTGATATAAATTTGGATATCACCTGGCATGGTAGCAGCATACACCTGCCATCCCAGTAATGAGGAGGCAGAGACACGAGGATTGTGAATTTGAGGTCAGTATGGCATACTTAGCGAGACTCTGTCTTAAAAATAAAACATAAAAAACCAAAACCAAACACCCCCCTCCTCCCAAAATCTGTCTCCAGCATAGAGATATTTGAAGCCATGAGACTAGATGGAGAAATGAATGCAGAGCAAGAAGAGAAAGAGACCAAGAATTGAGCCCCAAAACACTGAGTATCGTCCAAAAATTAGGGAGTTGCTAGAGTCCAGTAAAGAAGAATGAGGAGTAGACAGTGAGGTGGAAGAATCTGGGGCAGTGATTTGAAGCTGAGCGATGCTATAATTTGAAGAGGAAGTGATCCATGGGTCAAATGCAGGTGAATTTTCTCTGACTTCACTGTGAGGGCAGTGGTAAATCAGAGTACGATGGGTTAGGTGAGAGGCATGAGGATCTGGACTAGGCTTGGAAGTGGAGAACGTGGGGAGAAGGGGGTTGGATTTCAGGTCTCTTTAGGAGGATGTGTGGACTCCTGTGACTATAGGTAGGAGGCAAGGGACAGGGAGAAGGCAGGGATGCCTACTAGCTCTCTGGCTTGGTCCTGAAGTAATTGGTAGAGGCCACCATTAGCAAAGAAGGAAGGAGGAGTAGGCATGAGGGAGATTTAGGAGTATTTCTTTGGCTGATGACTTGGAGCCCATGGAAAAGACACACAAATGATTATGAGTAACTTGGGGATGAATCATGCTAAAATTTAAGCGACAGGCAGAAGGAGAAAAACTTGTGCTGTGCTAACAGGGTGGCCAAAGGGATTTGGACAAATTCAGGACTTTATTAAAGTCTTCCACCTTGCATAATGCTTCTGTTAAGTTAAGAAATATACACCTGAGAAGGACCCGAGAAGCCATTGGTGACCAAAGTGGGCACAGTTTTATGGGCGAGGTGAGGGGAGGTGCCATATTAGGACAGGTTGAAGAGGAAGTAGGGTGAGGGTAATGGAGACCAGGAGTGTAGATAATAAACCTTTCAACAAGTTTGTCACTCATGACATAGTTCAAGTTCAAGTTTCAAACTGACTAACCCCAAATGAAAAGCATCTCATTTTTATTACATAAATTCTGTGTGTCTTCATACTTCCAATGTTTGATACACCTGGTCCTTAAGCAATACCACAGTATGACAGCTTAAAGAGTAGTGGCAGCCAGGTGCTGGTGGCTCCCGCCTGTAAACCTAGCTATTCAGGAAGCAGAGATCAGTAGGATCATGGTTCAAAGCCAGCCTGGGCAAATAGTTCTTGAGACCCTATCTTGAAAATACCCAGTACAAATAAAAGGATGGCAGAGTGGCTCAAGTGGTAAAGTGCCTGCCTAGCAAGTGAAGCCCTGAGTTCAAACCCAGTACTGCCAAAAAAAAAAAAAAAAAGAGTAGTGGCAATTTCACAAATATAAGTCAACAAAAAAGAAAGACTCCAGTGTTTATATTTGTGGTGGCAGACAATTAACTTCAACAATATAAGATTTGTTGAAACATGAACCATTCAGATCTTACACATTCATTTTAATTCACCATGAAATTTCTGAGAGTCAAACTATCTTTCAATCATTTAATCACTAACACATTGAATGGCATTTGAAGATTTTTTTTGATGGCACAGGAGTTTGAACTCAGGGCCTTACTCTTGCTAGGAAGATGTTCTTACCACTTAAGCCACTCCACCAGCCCTTTTTTGGATAGGTTTTGTTCAAGATAAGGTCTCTTGAACTATTTGCCTGGGGCTGGCTTCAATCATGATCCTCCTGATCTCTGCCTCCTGAGTAGCTAGGATTACATGTGTGAACCACCAGCACCTGGCTGCATGTGAAAATTTAAAAGGGAACATGCAGCCAATAATGTTTTGGCTTTATGGTTTGTCAAAC